AAACAAACAAGTTTGCCAGCCCAGTGTCGTTCACCTCGGCCATGTGCGTTCTTAACAGTTTTGTTACTGATCAGTTTGGCAAATCTGTACAATCAGTCGTACTACACAATCTCACATCTGGTGGGAGTGAACGTACACGTTTAACAACCTGAAAATGCTTAACTGAACAAAAATATTATTATCATCTATGACACCAATAATAAGAATAAAAACAGAGAATATTTGTGTGCAGCACAGAAGTGGATATACTTATTTTACATGCACACTGATACAAACAACTGCAGCTGCTCCATGTTCCATATAAATACATTTTACACTGTGCTTTTGTTTTATACTACTGACCCCGCCCACAAAATAAACAATACAGAACATAGCATACACGTCATACACTTCAATAATACAGCATTAAATATGATATTTTAGGAAAATAATAATAACCACATCATCCTACTGTCTGAAAAATGCTAAGAGGTTTTGTTTATTTCACATTTATTCTTTCCAGTGGTCATAATTTTAACACCGTAAAGTTTAGTCAGAAGGGGGCGCAGTGGACTCAAACTCTGCCTATGAGCACAGGAATTGACTCAAAAGCTACTGAATGCTGTCATTTTATTGGTTCCCTACAGAAGCATCTGCATGGCTTAGGGTGTGCTTTATGTAAATGATATGTAAATGAAGTGCTGGTAGGCTGGCGCTTGATTTCATGCACTGAAGCTGATTGTGCTAAAATTTCTGCTCATTTCCACGTCAAACAAAGCTCTGTGAATCAGATGCAGAGCGTTTTGTACATCATTAAAGGCCGTCAAATCTGCCCTCTTTTTCCGCAACTATTAGATTAGATTCTTGATTTTTGTTGTTTCTGTATCTTCAGTTTGAAATGAAGATTATAGAGTTATGTATAATTGTGTATATTTAAATATTTGGGCTAAGAACACTATACATTTATTCTGTTCTATACATACATCTATGCATTAATTCTATATATTTGATTCATTGGACAAAGCTTTAAATGCGAAATTTACATAATGCAACACAGATCAACACGAGTTCCATAAATAATGAAAAAAGTTCATCAAGCTGAGATTTTATAAACTGACCTTGTAATATTTAAATTACCAATAGACTCTAACTAAGCACTGACCAGTAGGATGCTCTGGAGCAGCTGCACATGATCCTAAGGTCTCCATGTCCAGTGCCAAGCATGGGCTAGAAGGGTATAAAGCGCCCCAGCATTGGGCTGTGGAGCAGTGGAACTGTGTTCTCTGGAGTGATGGAGCTCCATCCAATACGTTTGGGATGATTAATGATCCAGAACTGACCATCCAACATCAGTACCTGACCTCAATCAATCAAATCCTCACAGCAATGTTCAACATCTAGAAGCCTCCCCAGAAGAGTAGAGGCTGTTACTGCAGCACAGACTCACTATTAACACCTTCATTTCAGAAGAAACTCTGGACACACAGTGTTTTCATATATAGTTTAATAAAAAATACTGATTGTACAAACAGACACTTCATAGAAAAGACACTCTCAGTGGTTAGTGGTCAGCACCGTTACGCTGACTGAGTGAAGCCTCAGCTCAGAACAGACCTTCATTACATCTGCTGTGTTAAAAATGAAACCATATATGTGCATCATTAATCGTGGAGCTCCTGCTCAGAGTGTAAAAGGAAGCTGATAAAGAAAGCCACACTGACCGTTTATATTTACTTACATTGAAGGGTCACATTCATTTCCTTAAAAGGCCCAAATCCTCCGACACTGATATTATATTTCTCCCTTTGATTTCCACGACATCATTAGTGTAGCTTTATTAACTTCTGAATATAAATGAATCTAAAAACAGCCCAGGCTGGAACACTCCTTATCACTTCAGTGTGAGTGGGTGGAGCTAAACTGCTGTAGTTGGATTGGCTGTTTTTGCAGCTCTGTTTTCATGTGTGGAGAGAGAAAATACACAGATTTACAGTTCAGTGAAACACAACGGTTTTACTCATATGTCTGAGTAAATATGTTATACTTTGGTATGAGGGCCTGAATACAGGCGCACTGCCAAGGACTCACTGTTTAGGATGTGTTGTAGAGGATGCATTAAAAGGACCTGTTGTAAAGGACGTGTTGTAAAGGATGCAATGTAAAGGATGCGATGTAAAGGTTGTGATGCAAAGTATGCATTGTCATGGAAGCATTGCAAAAAACATGTTGTAAAGGTTGTATTGTAAAGGTTGTGTTGTAAAGGTCATGTTGTAAAGGTTGTGTTGTAAAAGTTGTGTTGTAAAGAACATATAATGGTTGTGTTGTAAAGGTTGTATTGTAAAGGTCATGTTGTAAAGGTTGTGTTGTAAAAGTTGTGTTGTAAAGAACATGTAAAGGTCGTGTTGTAAAGGTTGTGTTGTAAAGGTCATGTTGTAAAGGTCGTGTTGTAAAGGTTGTGTTGTAAAAGTTGTGTTGTAAAGAACATGTTGTAAAGGTTGTGTTGTAAAAGTTGTGTTGTAAAGGTCGTGTTGTAAAAGTCGTGTTGTAAAAGTCGTGTTGTAAAAGTCGTGTTGTAAAGGTCGTGTTGTAAAGAACATGTTGTAAACGTTGTGTTGTAAAGGTCTTGTTGTAAAGGTCTTGTTGTAAAGGTCGTGTTGTAAAGGTTGTGTTGTAAAGGTTGTGTTGTAAAGGTTGTAAACATGTTGTAAACGTTGTGTTGTAAAGGTCTTGTTGTAAAGGTTGTGTTGTAAAGTTGTGTTGTAAAGAACATGTAAAGGTCGTGTTGTAAAGAACACGTTGTAAAGGTCGTGTCGTAAGGTCGTGTTGTAAAGGTTGTGTTGTAAAGAACATGTTGTAAAGGTCATGTTGTAAAGGTTGTGTTGTAAAGGTCATGTTGTAAAGGTCATGTTCTCCCTCTGCTAACGAGGCTGAGATGAAAGAATAAGTGCTCATCGTGTTAAAGTTACATTTTGAAAGTTAATCCCACAGACAGTGATGTACGCATGCAATTACGTAGCAACATTAAATATAGTTTACATAACAAAAGAGAAAAAATAAATAATAAAGTTACACAGTGTGCTTAAAAAGACGTACAGGCACAGTTCCAATCAGACCGAGACTGAGTGCAGGACACTGTACCACACCGGTCTGCAGACAAACACACAGTCTGAACATACATACACGGATAAGGGGTTTAAAGGGTTTATGACACTGAGACACACGGTTATAACAATATACGGTACCTGCTAACAAAGTGGACGTGAACAGAGACTGATAATTAAGACTTTCCCAACTCGCTTTGATTCATTAATAGCAACCTTAGCATTAAAAGGTAAACAATACTCAGCAACTTTACTGTAGGTCAGTGTTCATAAGGCTATATAACAACTGCATAAGCTCTGCACAATAAAAGACATAAACCTACATAATCATTTATAGAGGCTTATGTAATAGACATCTTTTGTCATAAAGGTTGCACTGGCCAGCTCTGATGTCGAGGTGAGATCATGGCCATGTCAGGTTGATTAGTAAAGCTGGGCGATATGTCAAAAATCTTATATCGTGATACTTTCAGAAATGTTTACGATGCATGATAAGCCAAATGCTCATTATTTCAGATGTCTGATCAGTTTGAACAGAGAAAAAAGAGCCAGTAGAGCTACATTTTAAAAACACCATCCAAAACTGTGAACACAGTGATTTATATTCAGTATTTGTCTCTAAATCCAGTTAAACTGACTAATTTTACTCTCTTTATAATGAAACATGCAGGTCAGTGTCTACAAGCACTGACGATATACAGGATATGTTCATATTGCACTGTGACATAATTAATCATAATTTATTCCCATAATGATCTATATTGTCATACTGCCCAGCCCTACTTAAGTTGTCATGACACTTTTTGGGGTGAAATCATACAGACTACTGTTTGCCCAGTGGCCTGTGGTGGTACTGCAAGGGAGCTGTTGGCAGTTTCTTTCTAGTTCTTTCTTTTTTTCTCTTTCTTTATTAATTTCTTTATTTCTTTAATTTGAATTGCAAAACTTAATTACAATATAGACATTTAAGTAAAGTAACAATTTTACATGTAACATAGTTGTTGCTGTGATAATTATTTGCAAAACTAAAACATCAAAAATAGCTACATTTTTAAGTCGTGCTCTGATTCTACTGGCAAAATGCAGGACCAGTGTAACCGACATAGCCGGCTAGATATGCTTATATTTTCATGTATATTTTTGATTATGTTGCATGATTACACAGTCAAGTGAAATTCAACAGGCTATGTTCAATTAAATTCTATTCATATTTCATTGTTTATAACAGGTGTTAAATCTTCTGGTGAGTTGCTGAAGGCTGGAAACCCCTGATCTAGACTTCTGTAATTCAGTGTACGTCACAGTGACGTAGTGCTGATAGCAGCTTCTAAGATGGACTGATTGAAAAAAGCTTCTGTTACACAAAAACCGACTGATTTCCCTCCACTTTTCTTTTTCCAGTAAAACCCGTTTTATCACGTTACTCTGAGTGCTGCTGTATTTTTGTGCAACACCAGTGTGGCCACCTAAAAAGGGAAGACAACAGCCGACGGTTCCTTTCGGCTAAAGTCTCTTTTTCGCCGTTGCTGTTTTTCCTTCTACATTCACTCTTAGAAAAGATGGGGCTTCAAGGGTTCTTTAGTAAAGAAAATGGTTTTATATAAAACCATGAATACTGAAAGAACCCTGCATGATTGAAGGGTTCTTTGCATCATGAAAGGGTTCTTCAAATTGATGGAGAATGAACAGTTCTATACAGAACCTTTTTGAAAATAGTTCTATATAACACCCAATAAGGTTCTCACATTGTTACAAGCTTGACACCGTAGCAATAGAAGAACCCCTTTTGGTGCTATATAGAACCTTTTTCAAAAAGGTTCTATGTAGAACCATCTACAGCACATTCTCCATCAGTCTGAAGAACAACTTCATGAGGCAAAGAACCCTTCAATCATGCAGGGTTCTTTCAGTGTTCATAGTTCTAAATAGAACCATTTTCTTCACTAAAAAGCACTTGAAGCACCATCTTTTCTAAGTGTGTAGTTAATCAGATTTCTGCTTATGAACTCTTGCAGATGCTCGAGTATCAGAATTAAATGGAATGCGTGTCACTATGGACTGTGGAGTGAACTGTATGAAATAATGAGTTTCATGTGAATGTTTATAATATTTAAGCTCTCACATCATCAGCATTACATCACTGTTATATACACTAAACTACATAGCCAGTCGGTCATCAGCCGAAAGTGTCATGACGACCCACTGTCAGACTAAAATCAGTCACCTGTACAGGTGTTACGTGAACTTGACATCAGAGTTGACAACAGCAGCCTTTATGACAGACGTCTATTAGAATAAGCCTTAATTAATGTTCATGAAGGATTAAGTCAGTCGCCATGACAGGCTAATGTAGCCTGATGAACGGCGCCCTGCAGTAGAGTGTTACCCAATACGCTGCTCCTTTAAATCTCCCAGCTGTCACTGAAGTAATTATCCTCCTCTACTTCTAATGTCTCTCCATCCTCCACATCATGAAACTGCTCTTCATCTTCCTGCTCCTCCTCCTCTTCATCAAACGCACTCTTCTTCAGCTGCGACAGCATGTCCTGGAGAGTGGCCTTCACCTCCTGCACCTCCTTCTCCAAGGACAGTGAACATGAGAAGTTAAGGAGAAAAACTATGCAGATTCATTCATTACTGCAAGAAAAGAGGACCATTCTGTCTCAATAACTGACACAATTTAAAAACGTATGCTGATAAAATCACAAAGCTGATTACTAACTACTGTTTAACCTGCATCAAACTGAGAACGGCACATATTATGTGATGTTTTATTAGGTAAAATAATATGTGCTATTTTCAGTTTGATGCGGACGAGCCCTGGCATTCAATGAAATATCTTTTTTAAGTAACAAACTGTAACCTTGTTAAGTCATTAACACTTCCATTGAGCATCAGTCCCATTTCAGATGAGCTCGAGCCCAGAGAAGTCGGCGGCGTTTCTGGACCTTGTTAATATGTGACTTCCACTGAGCTGAGTACAGTCCTAACCTGCATTTGCCGAGCCAAAGACAGACGGTGTTTATTGATAATGGGTTTGTCAGAATATTCCCGAGCCCATGTGGTGACCTCCATCACAGAAACATGCCAGTTTTTAATGCAGTGCCATCTGAGGCGTCAAATATCAGTTGTGGTTTTTAGCCTTGCCCTTTATGCACAGAGACTTCTCTGGATTCCCTGAATCGTCTGAAAAATTGGTTTATTTGCTGATGCATTTTTTTTTTTTTTGGCAAAGTGGTGAACTTCAACCCATCCTCGGTCAGTGCAGTGCTTTCTAGGATGCTCTTTTTATACCCAAACATGAGTGCATCACCTGTTTAGGATGTTTTTGAACATTTCACAATGTTTTAGCCTTAATTGGATCCTTTTCTGGAAAGTATTGCAGACATCAATTTGTGAATGAACTTAAATGACCTAAATAATTTACTTATCACTTCGTATCTGCATTCCACATACTTTTTTAAGGAGGGTTGTAATTTCATAGCAGATCATCCAAAAAATGCCATGCATGAGGGAGTCCTCCACTGTCTTCAGCTCCTTAAGCTCATTCCTCAATCATTAAGCTGAACCACTAATTCTTCTCATGACAGAATGGTTAGTTTCACTCTGAGGAGCCCAGTTCAGATGGAGCACTGTGGCCTAAATACCTCGTGCTGTCTCTGGGGAACAGAACAGACTTTTCTCATCACTTTCAGATTGTTTAACCGGCCAAATGAGGGGAAAGAGTCTCAGGCTTCAGTAGCAAATTAAAGGTACACCTCTCGTGGCAGATGGGACTGATGCAGCTCGTTTTGCTCTCCAAATGGACCCAGATTGTCCTCATTCATAATTAACCAGGCGTTAAAATGTGCATCATGAATTATGAAGAGGGATCAGTGAGATCCCCCTCTGGCTGATCGGACAAACGTAATGAAGTTCCTTTGGCAGGAATCCCTATTATCTGTCTGTCTGCTCAACCTCTGCGCTAAATGAGATTCTTACTCTTCCAGCCTGCAGCGGCTTTCTTAACCTTCACTGCCAGCAGAATGGAGGAGGAAATAGCAGCTCTCATGTCTGTGAAGATATGAAGGCCAGCTTGGCTGAGCTCTGTTCTAACTGACCTCAATTGAAACAGCAGGGTTCCTGCAGAAAGAGCTGTTAGTCTGTTAGTCACTGAATGTGTCTAAACTCTCGTCCTCTTTGCCTCATCATTTCCCCTCAGGGGATCCTCAGCGCCACCTTAAACGCTGCTCCGTTACTTTACTAGCTGGAGTGAAGGGTGGTAGATGAGCCCTCAGAGGGCGAGGAAACGAGAGAACACCAGCAGCAGAACTTACCCAGAAACCATTACAAACTGATTCCCTTTTCAAACCCCAAATGAAAGGCGGACAAAGCGGTTTATAAGCTACAGCAATAAACTACATTAAAATGCTTAACATTTCAAAACCATATACTCTAAAAAAAAAAAGGTTCTTCAAGGGTTCTTTAGTAAATATATAGAACCATGAACACCCAAAGAACCTTTTGCATGCTTAAAGGGTTTTTGCATGGCGAAATGGTTCTCCAATGGAGAATGTCAGGCTTGTAACAATAGACCTTTCTTGGTACCAAATGAACCCTTTTATAAAAGGTTCTACAGAACCATCTACAGCGCTTCATAAATCTGAAGAACAATTTCACCATGCAAAGAACCATTTCATCATGCAAAAAGGTTCTTTGAGTGTTCATGATTCTATACAGAACATATTTTTTAATGCATTTTTTAGCTACACAAAAAAGAATGGTTCTATATAGAACCATGAGTTCTATATAGAACCGTTTCATGCTTAAATGGTTCTTTGCATGGTGAAATGGTTCTTCAGATGAAGAATGTGTTGTACGTGGTTCTATATAGCACCAAAGGGTTCTGTGACTGTTACGATGTCAAGCTTGTAACAATAGCAGAACCATTATTGGCATTATATACAATCATTTTCATAAAGGTTCTATATAGAACCAAATACAACACATTCTCCATCAATCTGGAAAAAACATTTCACCGTGCAAAGAACCAGTTAAGCATGCGTGTCGTTACTAAAGAACCATCTTTTTTTAAGAGTGCAGTACAAAAACAGCTGCTTTGAGTTCCTTTAAACAGAATAACCACTTCTTTAACAGTCACTGCAAAGTCTCGTGTTCTAGACAGAAGATCACGGTTCCTCTGAGTTTACAACGGGACCCATCACTCTGAACTAAACACTAAACTAACACTTTGTCATGGAACATTGTGTTATTTAGAACCTATAAAAGAGATTTACATAAATATTAGGAATCAAGAACTGTAGCTGACTTTTCTTGTCGTGGTTCTGATTGGTTGTTTGTTTCTCCTTTTCCAAATTTAAAGTTTTGCACATATTTATTTAATTTCCAGTCAAAATGGCCGTTAAGTACAAGTTATCTGGACTCTGGGGTGGTCAGTCCATCGTTCAGCTTCTTTGTTTGATGTGTCCGTCTCCTTTTCTCAGTGAGGTTCTTCTTGATCAGCTACACATCCTTTCAGACCCACAGCGCTGAGTCGTCTTCTCACAGTGGAAGGATGGACAGAAACACCTGTGGATGTTTTCAGATCTGATCAGCTTGATTTTCTCCTCTCTCTCAGAGATGAAAGCTTTAAGTGCTGTTTATCTGATGTGGGTCAGTTTTAGGGTCGACCAGGTCTTCCAGGTGGTTGTTAGGAGACACATTTTCTCTGGAGCTTTAATAAGTTTTGGAAACTCTGTCTTTCTCCTTCCTTATTCAAGCTGATTATCCATCATCTTCTGACAAAAATCTCCTGAAAAATCTAGAACTTGTACTTTTAGGCTGTTTTGACTGGAAATTAAATAAATGAAGTTGGTCTCTGATTTTTGTTACAGTACTGTAAATTTTCTGGACCAGATCGTATTTTTGTACCTGTCTGCTGTGAATAAAAATGTATTATCCAGTAATCAGATCTGATCAGTACAGTAAATAGACTCTGATGTGTTGTTTGAGAAAGAGAGTCAGTGTAATGTTTCCTGGCAGGCGAAGACAGACAGACAGACGGATTAGACATTACAGTGTCACTGCAGTGACAGTATAATCTACCATTAACTTACCCCTGTGTCTTTACTCTAATCACACATAATAATAAGAATAATTGGCAGCCCACTCCTCCTCCTCCCCGCCCGCTCTCTCCTAATCCCTGAGAGCTCATCTTTAATTCCCACCTCGAATGGAGCTCTTATCACTAAATATGCCTGCACTGCTGCTCTGGACTGTTTTGACAGAGTCTGTATGGACAGAGTCTTTACTGGCCACATCAGCCTGACAGTGGACTTTGTTTCATCCCTGATGGAGCTGAAATTGCATCTGTCTGTCCAGCTTATTTATCATATTCATTCATTAATAACAGACAGTGTGAGCAAACGGAGAGTCTGCTCTGAATAAAATAAGGTTCTTCCTCATGTGCCTGTCTTTAGTCTGTCAGGTGGAAAATCAAATGCACACAGTTACCCAGCCTCCCCCAGATCTGGTCCATCAGCCAAGACATGTTTGGTGTCCGAATTTAGCCTCTTTAGTACTGGAGCTATAAGGCTAATGATGCTAACACTAGAAGTCAATAGTCACCCAAATCCTTTTTCAATTCATCCCTAAAACTGGGCATGTTTTCCAGGCATGTAAAGATCCCAGCCTCTTAAAAAGATGGTTCTGCAAGAGTTCTTGAGTAAAGACTATAGTTCTATGTGGAACCATGAACACTCAAAGGACCACCAGCATGCTTAAAGGGTTCTCTGCATGGTGAAATGGTTCTTCAGATTGATGGAGAATGTGTTGTATGTGGTTCTGTATAGCACCAAAAAGGGTTCTTCTATTGTTACGATGTCAAGCTTAAATTCAACAGTAAAACCCTTTTTGAAACCATTTTTGAAAAATGTTCTCATCAATCTGAAGAACTGTTTCGCCATGCAAAGAACCATTTAAGCATGCAAATGGTTCTTTGAGTGTTCATGGTTCTATAAACAAAATTGCCTTTACTAAGAAACTCTTGAAAAAACATTTTTAAGAGCTTCGTAGAGTTTTTTGGGATGTTATCTCCCATATTTTTCATTAATCTGTAAAAAGTACAGTCGCTACTTTTTTATTTAACGTAAGGACAAAACGTGCAGTGAGATTTGGGTGACTATTGACTTCTAGTGTTAGCATCATTAGCCCTGTCGCTCCAGCGCTAAACTAATGAAGTTAAATTTGGACACCAAACATGTCTTGGCTGATGGACCAGATCTGGGGGAAGTGAAAGACTGTGCACATGTGATTTTCTGCAGAAGCGTTTCTTTAATAGGAATTAAAAGAGAGGAACATTAAAGTCTGTAAAGCTGAGCGATGTCTATCTGAGATTCTGTAAGAGTATCTGATGAACACGATTCTGTATAAACACTCAGACGGGCAGAGCAAGGATATCAGTGATGTCCTGGTCGCTGTTCTGCAGCGCAGTCTGTAGCTGCTCCTCTAAAGACAGCAGTCTTTCACTGATCAGCTCACAGCGCTCGGTCAGCTCCACCGCCTCACTGTGCAGATCCTGCAAACAAAAACAAAGACCAGCAGCAGCAGGTTACGACCGTTAGGTCAGCATGGTCAGTTCAAAGCTGGAGTGGAGAATCTCCTCTCTCACGCTTCACTAAGGCAGGAGGTAAAACTCTGATAACGAGCCGTTTCAGTTTGGACAGTGAGGGAGTTTATCAGAAAGCAGGATTTCTTGCTTATCTAGCTGGCAGGTTTAACTCTGACCCAACTTTCTGTCAGTGATCATATTTTAATGGGTTACACCACAGTTTAATGTTTATATCACCATGGCAACTGTGTACCTAACCTGCTCTAGGATTTTAGATCATAAACAGCTCTCAGAGACAGGCCTCTGACCAATCAGGGACAGTCATCTGACCAGTCACAGACAGTCATCTGACCAATCAGGGACAGTCATCTGACCAATCAGGGACAGGCCTCTGACCAATCAGGGACAGTCATCTGACCAGTCACAGACAGTCATCTGACCAGTCACAGACAGTCATCTGACCAATCAGGGACAGCCTTTTGATCAACCCAGGACAGTCATCTGACCAATCAGGGACAGTCATCTGATCAATCGGGGACAACCCTCTGTCTAATCAGGGACAGTGATCTGACCAATCAGGGACAGCGCTCTGACCAATCAGGGAAACTTTTGACCAATCAGGGACAGTCATCTCACCAATCACAAACAGGCTTCTGACCAATTAGAGACAGGCATCTAACCAATCGGGGACAGCCTATCTGACCAATCAGAGACCAATTTGTGTGCACAACATTTGTGTGTGGGCGGAGCTTCTGCGGCTGAGACTGTCTCAGTCCCCGGTACAGCAGCACTGCTCTGCTCTGTCTGTGATTCTGTCTGTGTCTGAGCTCCACTGTCAGCCCCCCCCGTGTCTCTCGGTGCGTCTCTAATAATCAGTCATATTACAGTGAGAGTAAATTATAATACAGCGCCTCTGAGCGAGGCTGGGGTCCGCGGGGGGAGCACGGCGTCTGACTGAACACAGCGCTGCACTGAGGAGAGGGTAACAATGAATACGGGGAGGAGCTGAAACTCAACATCACACTGAGAACAGAGCTTATCAGAGACCTGCTGACTCTGGGCTGAATATGATATTTCTGTGGTTTGTTTCATAGCATGGGATTAATATAACCTGGGTTATTTCTATGACTCAGGTTAAACCACTTGGATTAACATAACTTGGTTTATGTCTATTGCTCAGGTTATATAGCCTGGGATTATTATAACCTGGGTTATTTCTACATCTTGTTTTATAGGGATGGATTAATATAACCTGGGACATTTCTACTGCTTATTTTACAGCACCTGGATTAATATAACCTTATTTCTACAGATCATTTTATAGCATAGGATTAATATTACCTGGGCCTATTCCTACGGCTCGGGTTATAGCACAGGATTAAAATGACCTAGGTTATTTCAACTGTACATTTCATAGCACAGGATTAATATAATCTGGGTTATTTCTGCAGTTTGTTTTACAGCCCTTGGCCCCCGCACAACCAGCCTGTTTATAAAGTGCTGAAAGTGAACGCTAGCCCAACAATATTTACTCCTCGTTTGTGGGCGGAGCATTGGCTTGCGTGTGTTGTTGCTATTGGTTGTGATGAGTCAGATCTGCTGGGGGCGGGACTATTATATTCACCCAGAGTGGCACAGTGACCCTCACAACACACAGAGCGGCTCGTCTGGCAGCTTATTAGAGTGCGTCTCTCCGGTTTAGCTCCTCTTTCCTGCAATACTGTGGACGCTGTGAAGAAGTAAAATGGTGTGAAATTCAGGGGGAAGAGACGGGGGTGGGGGGGGGGCGGATGTGGGGGGGGCACACATTGATTTCCTTTGTGTCAGCATGGCAGGCAGGTGGGCAGCAGCAATGTGGAAATCATTCAATTAAAGTCATTAGGGAGGAACAGAGAGAGAGAGAGAGAGAGAGAGAGAGAGAGAGAACTGAGGGAGAGAGAGAGAGAGAGGCAGAGGGAGAGATACAAAGGGAGAGAGAGAACTGAGGGAGAGAGAGAGATACAGAGAGAGAGAGAGAGACAGAGGGAGAGACAGAGGGAGAGATACAAAGGGAGAGAGAGAGAACTGAGGGAGAGAGAGATACAAAGAGAGAGAGAGAGAGACAGAGGGAGAGATACAAAGGGAGAGAGAGAGATACAGAGAGAGAGAACTGAGGGAGAGAGAGAGATACAGAGAGAGAGAGAGAGAGAGACAGAGAGAGAGAACTGAGGGAGAGAGAGATGCAGAGAGAGAGAGAGAGAGGGAGAGAGAGAGAGATACAGAGAGAGAACTGAGGGAGAGAGAGAGAGATACAGAGAAAGAGAGCACATTCTCTCCTCCCTGCTCGCCCGTCGTCACCGTCCTGCTACCTGGCTCACCCAAACTCATCCGCTCGGCTCTTTAATCCGGCCATCGCTTCCCAAATCCCTATAATAATCTCCCTCCATGATAGCGGTGATTATGTACATAAAGCTGGACGTAAAAAGCTTTTATAGGAATCGAGCTCCTCTTATTCCCGAGCAGCGCCTTCAGCTCAACACTCCTCCGCTCTTACAGTGCATCCCTAACGTCTGACTCCTCCACTGAGGAGCTGCTTATTTTAGAATAATGTGATGGAGCCATTTGTTCCCTTCACTGCTGTACAGTCCCTGCAGCTGTTAGTCTGTCAGTTCAGGTGCAATACTGCCCCCCAGTGGAGCACAGAACACCTGCAGAGCAGAGCGCACAGCCTGACTCACTGTTATTTACTGAATAATAATAGAAGTATTTAAGGAAGGTTAATAATATGAAGAGCTTCATCCCAAAATGCTGTATTATGATATATAATTTTGGATATACAGCTCACCAAATCACAAACACTCACACTAACAAGTGAAAACAACTGATATTTCTCAGAATGAGATGATTGTAAAGATACTGTAAGATTATTCAACTTATTTCTAGACATTTTTACTTGTTTGTCATCATTTTACCTGTTTTGAGGAATAATGCAGATCATTTTGCTGATTTGAAGTGTCATATTTCTAACATATCATTTTGAATGTAACTAGTTGTTGCAGGGAATAGCAGCTGACCGATGCTTTTATATTTTTCTATATGAAGGTTGAAAAAAGATGGTTCTTTAAGGGATCTTTAGTAAATGGAATGGTTGTTTAGAACCATGAGTTCTACATAAAATCATAAATGGTTATTTGCATGGTGAAATGCTTCTGCAGATTGATGGAGAATGTGTCATATATGGCTTTATATAGCACCAAAAAGGGTTCTGCTATTGTTTTGATGTCAGGCTTGTAACAATATAAGAACCCTTGGTGCAACATAGAACCATTTTCAAAAAGGTTTCATACAGCACCAAATACAACATTGATCTGAAGAACCATTTCACCACGCAGAGAACCATTTAAGCATGAAATGGTTCTGTATACGGTGTAAAAAATCTCTTCAACCTAAAAAAACCTTAGTGATCAAATTAGCTTTATTAGCTTTATTCAACTCAAACGACTTTGTTTATTCAAAGTATTTATTTAGGTCATATAAAACTTTATTTGTTGCCACATGAAGTGAAGTTTTAGGTTAAAGTGAGGAGCCATTTTTTTACAGTGTGGAACTCTGTACCACTGCATTTACTAGAACCCTTGAGGAACCATCTTTGTGAGTGTGTAGCACTGATGTTTGTTGTGTGTGAAGCTCCCAACAACATATGATATTAAAAATAAATTTACTGAAAGTGGTGTATAATTTTAGCTACCTGTCTCTGCTACAACGAAGACAAACGTAGTTTCAGCTCCTGACGTTTATAAACACTTCAGCCGAGTGTAAACAACTCAACTCCCAGACTGAGGGGAGAGTTTAACAGACGCGGGAAAATCTGATAAATCAATACAAACCATGAAATGTCCTGTTACACATCATGTGTAGTTCTGATTGTTTACACTGGGGGTCTAAGTCCTCCCCCCTGTGGGAGGCTGTACTTTAGCCTGTCTGGCTCTCACTGTGAGCTGTTTATCTGCTTCTAAGCGCTGCTATATTACAGACACCAACAGGAGACTAAACTAATACAGGAGTGAATTCTGTAAAACCCACTAATCACAAACACTTACACTGCAAAAAACATCTTAACAAGTGAAAACAACTTAAATCTACACACATCCACAGATCTAATGTTTCTCATTATCAGATGGCCGTAAGGATGTAAGATTATTCAGCTTATTTCCAGACACAAAGTAATGGTTTCATGCTGGGAGTAAAAACATGAACAAACAGATCCCAGAGCAAAGAAATTCCTGCACACTGTCTTAAAAAATGTAAAAAGTCTTCAGTCGAGTCAAAGTTTGTTTATACGGTGCTTTTTACAGCAGGTGTTGTCACAAAGCAGCTTTACAGAAAAATCCGGGTCCGAGTCTCAGTGAGCGTCGCCAGTGGCGACAGTGGCAAGAAAAACTCCCTAAGAGCAAGAGGAAGAAACCTTGAGAGGAACCAAGACTCAAGAGGGGAACCCATCCTCCTCTGGTCGACAGCGTAGGGCCCATGTGTCAAACCCCACAAAGGTACTTTAATTTTCTATTAATATTAGTGCGTTTCACAATGCACTGCACTACAGTCCCCAGCATGCACTGCAACATAATGTGCTCTGACTCTCCTACCCCAAAAACAGTCTATGGGACAGCGGTTACAATTCTACACAATTCTGCACAATTCCACATCAGTCATATCACCAGCTGCATTTCAGCTGCAGCTCAACCAACATAAACACTGACCGTCAGCTCAGCAGCTCAGAAACTGAGCCCAAGTCTTAATGAACCTGCAAAGAAAGGATGGCAGCAGTCCAGTTCAAGCAAACAGGCAGGTTTAAAAGACTGAGCTCCTTTTAAGGGTCCATGTAATATTTTAAGCTCTACTACAAAGTGTCTGTATTTTACTGCATAGTTTGAATAAACAGTGGCCAGTTCAGGTTACGGCACAACATTAATTACAAATGAAATAAAAATATTTTTTCTCTGGCTGCAGATTTTTAATGAGGCCCTTTTACTGGTTGAGTTTGACACCCCTGGCATAGAGTGAGATTTGATCATTAGTATAAGATACGGAAGAAGGAAAACAGAAAAAATGACATATGGTGCGTTGGAGCCACTCAGGCCTTCATCAGGACACAAAACATGGCATTTCCACATCGGCACATTTGCCACGAGTCAATAACGGCTTTTTATTTTTTTCTGAAGACGGTTTGTGGGAATTTCTTTGCCCTGGGATCTATTTGTTCATGCCCTGTTGATGCAGATGGATTGTCCTGTTTTTGCTGCTGCCAGGGTCCAGGAGAACCTGCCTTTATGCTTCATTTTGTGACCCCTGCAGCGGCTCTGCATTGTTGCTCATTTCTAGATTATTTTTACTTGTTTTGAGTGATTTATGGTTAAAGTGGTTTATGGTGAAAAGTGTCTTATTCACTTTGGCAGATCATTTTACTTCTTTCGAGAAATAATGCAGATAATTTAGCTGATTTTACAGCCTGACTGCAGAGACTCGCATGACTTATAGCGTCCATGTCTAATAATCAGAATACGATGTTCAAATCAAATGGAAAGCTTGTGTTTATAATGCAAAATATTACAAACAGGTGAAATTCCTCTACTAATAGGTCACCACGGTTGCACTGTGATGATGTCATATGGCTGCACTGAATTCAGTCCTACTAAAAATAAGACAATCAAAAAAGTAAAACAACATTCTAGCTAAATCTGGAATGAGAGAGGCTGAATGAAACATTAGAGTTACATCAGATATTTAGCTCACTGTTCTTCACTCAGTGGGCAGAAGAAGAACAACCACAACAAATAAGGCGCAATACCAGTAGAGGGATTCTGTCTGTTTTTACAAATAAGCAAAATATTTTGCTTGATTTATACAACATATTTGAAAAGTACTGGACGTGTGCACTAACGGTCACAGTCCACTTTAAGAAATGATGCTTAAAACAAGTCAAATAATCTGCCAAAGAAACAAGACACTTTTACAAGACAAAATTATTAGTAAAATAAATAAATAAATAAATAAATAAATAAATCAGGCGTAACATTCTGACCACCTCCTTGTTTCTACGCTCATTGTCCATTTTATCAGCTCCACTTACTATATAGGTGCACTTTGTAGTTCTACAGTTACAGACTGTAGTCCATCTGTTTCTCTGATACTTTGTTAGCCCCCTTTTACCCTGTTCTTCAGTGGTCAGGACCCCCATGGACCCTCACAGAGCAGGTACTATTTGGGTGGTGGGTCATTCTCAGCACTGCAGTAACACTGACGTGGTGGTGGTGTGTTAGTGTGTGTTGTGCTGGTCTGAGTGGATCAGACACAGCAGTGCTGCTGCAGTTTTTAAACACCTCAGTGTCGCTGCTGGACTGAGAATAGTCCACCAACCAAAAATATCCAGCCAACAGCGTCCTGTGGGCAGTGTCCTGTGACCACTGATGAAGGACTAGAGGATGACCAACACAAACTGTGCAGCAGCAGATGAGCTATCATCTCTGACTTTACATCTACAAGGTGGACTGACAAGGTAGGAGTGTCTAATAGAGTGGACAGTGAGTGGACACAGTGTTTAAAACCTCCAGCAGCACTGCTGTGTCTGATCCACTCGCACCAGCACAACACACACTAACACACCACCACCACGTCAGTGTTACTGCAGTGCTGAGAATGACCCACCACCCAAATAGTACCTGCTCTGTGAGGGTCCATGGGGGTCCTGACCACTGATGAACAGGGTAAAGGGGGGCTTTATAATAATATATCTTTATAATATATTCTTAGTACAGCCTCACTGAGAAATATTAGACCAGATTTAGGATGTTTTTTTATTTGCTAAGACGTTACTTTTGTCTTCAGAGTGAATCTGGAGAAACAGCTGTCAAAATTCAGAGATGACGTTGCCATGGGAACATGAGAAGATGACCACCAGCACGTTCTGTTTACCATTTTTTAGCTACATTAAATATCTGTATTACATTTTTCCCCGTGTTAGTTTGTGCCCCCTCTACGTGTTTGCTGGCCCCCTCAAATCTCAGTCAAACACAATATTATTAATACTTAATTATTATTATTAAACGAATAGAGGATGTTTCGAATGTTTTGAGATCGTCCTTCAGCCACAGCGTAAAGATGGTGATGTAGCTGAACAGAAGGATAGTATTGATCGGTTGTTTACGCTATCAGAGCTCATTATTGATCAGACGGGTCAGTGGCTGTTTACACTGCTCTAATATTCACTTCCAGTAAGATTTATGAGGGAAAAACACAAACAAAACTGACAGTATAACCCATAACAAACTGCAACAGTGGAGGACAATAATAAAGAGAATAGTAAGGCGGTACCTCAGGATGACCGTCCTCCAAGCAGAACAGGAACTCCTCCAACTTCTGTCGAACAGAGAGAACGTTTCTCATTTTAACAGAACAATACACCCAACAGTCATAAACTCCATGAGTTATTAAACTCTATACCATACTAAAGATGGTTCTCCAAAGGTTCTTTAGTAAAGGCAATGGTTCTATTTAGAACCATGAGTTCTATATAACTCTTTCATGGTGAAATGCTTATCCAGATTGATGGAGAATGTGTTGTATATGATCTGAAACAGAACCTTTTTTGAAAACGGTTCTATATAGCACCAAAAAGGGTTCTGCTATTGTATACAAGCTCGACATCATAACAATAGCAGAACCCTTTTTTGGTACCATTTTCCATATACAAAATATTCTCCATCAATCTGAAGAACCATTTATGCATGAAGCGGTTCTATATAGATTTCATATTTCTAAACAGAACCATTGCTTTTACTAAAGAACCATAAGAGAACCATCGTTTTTAATGAATGTACTCCTCATAAATCCTGATAATGAAAACAATAATTCATCAACATTAAACACAAGAGAAAAACAAAATAAAGAACTAACGTCTGCAGTGTGGGTTCTGTGATATGACTGTTCTAGACGTCTTTGGAGCAGTTCAATGAACAGTTCAGTGAAAATCAGGTTCTCCACTTCCCACAGTTGTGGTCGATCAGCCAAGACAAGTTTGGTGTCCAAAATTAGCTTCTTTAGTTTGTAACGCCTAGGCTAACGTTTCTAACACTAGAGGTCAACAGTCACCCAAAACCTCTCTCAGCTGCTCAAACTCCAGCTCTTCGTTAACGTGGATCAGACGTGTAGATGCGGTTTAGGACTCAGTATAACTCACTGACGTTGATCCGTCAAAGCTGAGTAGATGCGAGTCTGACCGTCCACGTCAGATTCAGGAGACTGTCGTGTGACAGTGAAGCGAACTGTGATTTGGGCGCAGTAGATCAATCAGCTTCAGAATCAATACCTTATTTACATATCATTTACATATCACACCCTAACTAACCCTCGTTTACATAATACTTTACATGAAGCACTCCCTAATTCATGCAAATATGACAGCGAGTCATTTCATTCATTAAAGTCGCACTCGACGCTCATGAGCCAATGTTTGTTCCTGTAGACGTAGTTTGGGGTTGAGCAGGAGGTGCACTGCTCCCCCTACTGGCCACAGCTTAAGTAGCTTAACAGTGTTAAAATTACAACGACTGAAAAGAACAAAATGTCAAATGAACAAAATGCTAGTAAAATGATGTGATTGTGTGATTATTTTCATAAAACTCTGACTGACTGAGCAATAATACTGCAGTTTATGATAACGCAAGGTATAAACAATAGGGGTGAAACGGTACACAGGAGTCATGGTTCGGTACGAGTTCAATATAACAGAGAAAAGCAACAAACTCCCCAAATGCATCAGGCTCGGTTTCTTTTCATTCATTCTGAACAGACAGTAGTGCAGGGTAGTGCAGTTTATTCCACCTGGAGTCGTATAGCGCCCCCTGAGGAAGCTTTAGCTGCTGCAGCCTGTAATGGGTCATTCACACTCGACGGGTCAGTAACGTTCACTAATCTGTGAAAGTTCAGCTTCAGCTGTGATTCTGTAGTTCGGAGCAGAAACGCAGTGACGTCTGTGAGTGTTGGTGCTGAATCTGTTCAGAGGAGCAGAAACACTGCAGGCTGTGTAGAGAATCAGACTCGCTTCACTCCTTTAACTCCAGCCTGTGTCTTTAAATTCTCTCTTTACTGACCTCGATAGCTGCTTCCTCCCCTCTCACTCACTGTCCACCTCAGACCCAGCCCCTCAGCTGATCGGGGTCAGGGGTTATGACGCTGCTGCAGGTATGAAACCCTGATAGGCCGGATCGTTCAGGAGAGAGGGTCCCCTGCGGACCACCACTGCTAACCTGCTAATGGCTACATTTGGTTCTGCGTTACGTTTATCAGTCTTCACACATATTGAGTACTTCCCGTACGACTGCATGCACAGAACCACCACACCCATACCGACGAATACACGGACCATTAGCAGACCATGCTAACGTCAGCCGGTTTAGCTGAGTGTCTGAGTCAGGGATGTTTGCCACACTGCAGATGAAAATGAAAGCAGACCCTCGATCACCTCCCGCGGTCTATTCTGCTTCATCTGTAGTGGGACACTCTTTTTCTGAGACAGCGAACATAAAGAAAGAGCCAGTCTTTTGGGGTTAGCATTACCCTAGCACAGACACCAGAGTACTTCTGTTTCCTCGCATTGCATTTCCTCTCAGTTCCATCAGACGACACCTCCAAACAAGCCGGGTAGCAGCTGATGGTGAAGTGTGAACGACTGTTATTTAGGTATAAAGCAAATGACCTCTTATTCAAGTTTCCCATTCCATCTTAAATAGTGGAAAGTTGCTGCTCCATTTAAGGTGGAACAGGAAATCTGAACAAAAAGCTGCTGAATAAGAAGCCAATTTCAGCCTCGAAGAAACAACATTTAGCACTGTTTTTGCCTGGAGTTAGAAAGCTACACTAAGTGTGTATAAATAAATAAATAAATAAATAAATAAACATACATATATATCATTTTTACTATTTTGCACACAAAAAAGGTTTAGTCAAATTTCAGCGCAGAGCTGACTGTTCATGTTTTGTTGATGTTTATATCTCACAGTGAGTCAGACTGTGTCCTAAACCACACCTACAACTCTGCTCCACCTTAATGAAGACCTTGTGCGGCTGAGAGATGTTTTGGGGATGTATTTATTATTTACACAATGGAGTTGGGTGACTATTGACGTTTGATCTGCGTGGAAAACTCTCTCTTTTCACTGAGCCGTTCATTTAAAGCAGAAAATAACCCCCCAGCAGCAGCACAAACAGTCTGACTGCAGCTGTCAGGGCAAAATTACAGTAAAACACATTTATTTCTAGTCTCTCCTGGATTTGAATGTAAATGATGCCAGTTAATTATCCCCCGTCAGATGGAGATAATTATGATAATAATAATAATAAGGTTGTGAGCTGCATTCTCATACTGTACACTTACACAGAGTCAGATTACGCTACAAACGAACAAAGACAGCGATGTGGGCGGAAAGAAGACGAACAAAACCACACCGTCTCACCTTCTCTGTTCAGGGTGGGAGTGGAGGAGGGTTAGGAGGAGTGGCCAGTCTTCAGGAAACAAAGAGAAACAGCAGAAAGAGAGAGGAGACGCGGGCATGTGGCAGCAAACAGAGACGCAGATTAATCAATCAGGGTTAAAAACAAAAGCATCAGTGAGAGACAGACAGAGAGAGAACAGGTTAGCAGACGAAAGAGGCCAGAAGAACATTATAAAGAATGAAGATATTCATCCGAGAATGTGTTTAAACAGGAAAAGATCTCCAAAGATCTCCATTTCATTGTCTCTAAGCTGCACATACAGTGTTGTAACTCCTCTCTGGAGCAGAGGCGGAGCAGGTGGACATAAATAACATTGTAGTTTACAGGACTGTAAAAATTCAGAGACGCACTTTATTTGTTTAATTTACAGTCAAAACGGCCTTTAAGTAAAAGCAGAAACATAAATTTAACAGAAAATAATACAGAAACCTCAACAACTACATCTGATATCATATGTCTGAGTGTTCTGCATGGTGAAATGGTTCTCCAGATTGACGGAGAATGCGCTGTAGATGGTTTGATAGAGCACCAAAAAGGGTTAAAGCTTGTATACAACAGCAGAACCCTTTTTGGTGCTATATAGAACCCATTTTCAAAAAGATTTTATATAGAACCAACACACTCTCCATCAATCTGAAAAACCATTTTACCATGCAAAGAACCACTCAAGCATGCAAAATGTTCCATGAGTGTTCATGGTTCTATAAAGAACCAATGTCTTTACTAAAAAACATCTTATTTTAAGAATATAGTAGAAAAACAGCTGCTTCATTAGTTCTTTTAAACGGGATAAGAACTTCTGTAACAGTCACTACAAAGTTGCTGTATCTGCTCATGTTCTGGACTGAAGGTCACGGTTCCCCTGAGCTTACGACGGGAACCATCACTCTGCCCTAAACTAACGCTCTGTCACAGAACGGTAATGCTGTGTTATTCGGCACATATAGAAAGATCTGCACGTTTTAGAGTTCCTGCTCTGGAACACCCACTTCAGTTCAGTAAAGGTTTGTTAATGAGCTGGTTAGTTGGAGCAGGAAGAGCACTAGAACAGGAGGTTCTCCAGGATTTGGAACCGCTGTGCTTATCAGCGTTTCTATATTTGCAGCGTGTTTATGAAATGTAGCACCGTGTCGTCATTTTGATGAAAGTGTTTTCTGCATTTGCAGCTCGTTTTATTTGCAGTTTGCTGGGTCTTTCGCTGTATAATACTCTGATGTGGAGATTTTAAATGTTCTCCTAATGTAAAAAGCCAAATTCAGCTGCTCTCTTAAGGAAAACGGACAGAATAATGTTGTGGTTTTGAGCTGCGTTTACTCTGCTGTGAGATACGCTGACCGCTGAGTGCAGCTTCAGATCAGACCTGATCAGTGATGACCTGATCACAGACTGTCACTGTACAACTGTTCACACAGAGTAGCAGAACTTCTCTGTGGTGATGGCTGACTGTCTTAGGCCCAGTCCCATTTTACCCCTTGGCCCTACCACTCAGCCCTACCCCTCGGTTTGGGGGTTCTTGTCTAGGGGTAGGGTGTCCCGATTCTTGTTGAGATAGAGGGGTAGGGTGAAGTGTTGGGGCCTCCAAACGGAGGTTTTTCAGAGACTCCAAACAGAGAGTTATGAGAAAAAAAGAAAAAACCGGCGAGATGGAGAACAAGAGACCAGAGAAACCCACAAATGTGAGAATTTTCTCTGTTAAAAAATTACGATAACCACTGTTTTATCTTAGTTTAAAGTCGTTTCAGTGTATTTTGGTCCTTTTCATCATAACAATCATAAAAAATCACTAGTAGTGCTGACGTCTCGGTAGCTAACTAGCTACATTTCCCGTTCCACCTTAAACGGTGCAGCAGTTCTGACGCCTGAATGTAACTGCTGCACCATTAAAGCCACTACAGCCTCTCAATGACCTTTTCACTATTTTCACTATATATTTTTATGTGAAGTAATTCTTTGTGTGATACAATGTGCAAAAAAAAAACATAAATAATAATAATATGTTTATGGTTTTCCGCCAAAATCTCTTTCTTAAAAGTGTCAGAATTGTGCTGAGTGTCATTTGAGAAAATCTGAATTTTCTGAGCAAAGTTATGCAATTAGTTTACTTTTTAATTTTTATAGTTTAAGTTGCACTATTTTGTCCTATATTATGATCTTAAAAGTTTCAAACATAAAATAATGCCAGAAAACTATCTATTGAGAAATTTAGGTAACTATCTCTATACTGAATCTGTATATATGGTTGAATGATTGCTCCACTTCACACTTTTAGACTTTGGAAGACATAAATATGTATGATTATTTTTATTCTGATGCACTGAATATGTATTCACATACACTGTATTCACCCATTCACATATACTGTATTCACCTTTTCACATACACTGTATAATAACGTGTATTTATTATCTCTCTTTATAGGAAAATAGTGGACTGGGGCACAAAAAAATGCCTGACCCAATAATACAGTCCTAAAGCGTGAGAAATGTGTAAGGTGTATATAAATGTACGAGGTGGGTCACCTTGGTGAATTCAGAGTTTTGCAGGTTGACCTCTGAACCCCAGCAGCCCCCCAGAGCGGTGAGCATGGCGCAGTCGGCTTCCATCTTGGAGAAGGGCTGAACCTGCGGACAGGGCTTCGGGGGGGAGGGGAGATCCTCCGGCTCAGAGTAGGTGGGAGTGTGGAGCTGGAGACCCCGCAGGAGAAGGTGGCACGCCTCCAGATCAGCCTCCCAGATTCGCTCCAGAGCCGGACTTCCGCAGCTGACCGGAAAAGATCAAACAGGCTGTGATAAAGTGTCGAAATCATATACAGCTTTTTAAACAGTGATGAAAATGAGAAGCTGTGATTGACGGTGTTCCTCTCCAAGAAACTGACAGCTTCCTGTTCACCAGCTTCTTACTAGAACGTTCCGCTCCACCTTAAATGGTGTTTACAGGAACCAGAATGTGGACTGAGAAGCTGGTGAAGCTTCAGTCTTGTTCGCTCTTCACAAACACATTCAAACAGTGAAGACATCAGCTGTGTGGAACTATTTAACAGTTTCTATGAGGAACATTAGAACGATCTATCATCTCTGTTCATGTGGAGCATCAAGACGCCCAAGATCTTCTCCAACGCAGGTCTGATAGAACCTGACAACACGACTCGATACACAGAACCCAGCAGGACAGCGGAAGCAGAAAAGAAAGTCCTGCAGCGCCGACGCCGTCTCAGATTATCACACGATCTAAACATTCAAACCACGGACTCAGAGCAGAATCACTGACATTTACTTCGCTGAAGAACCCTTCAAGAACTATCGTTTTTAAGAGTGAACGGTATCTTGAATATCAAAGCTAGTTAGAATGTACTTACCTAACTAATACGATACTGTTTTTAACCCTCTATTGCACGATGTTGCCTCAGGGCAACAAACTCATTTCCCTCACTTTACAGTAATATGTATATTTAAAGACAACGACAGGGTCAACAATAAAAGATAAGAGTACGTCAATAAAAAGCATGTGCTTGGTCATACTATCTCTTTAAACCTCTATTTAAACATTGAGTATCAATTTTTTGTCATGAGATTTTGCAGAAATATGTTTGTTGCCTAGAAGCAACATTGTGCGACAGTGGAATGGATTTAGCCAATCACAAGCCAGGTCTCACCACTTCAGGGAACATGGCTTTATATCATTTCCTCCCATTGTTGCACAATGTTGCCTCAAGACAACATACACCAAAAGAACCCCTGCACACATTATTATTATTATCTTGAATGTTTTTTAATTTAATAATTGGGTCTAAAAAAATAAATCAAGGACCATTTTATACAAGAATGTTTTTTTTTTAATTGCTCTCATAATGCGTCAGTATGATACAGTATCGGTATTCGTGCACTACACTCTTAAAATCGATGGTTCTACAAGGGTCCTTTAGTAAAGAAAATGTTTCTATATAGAACTATGAACACTCACAGAACCCTTTGCATGATTAAATGGTTCTCTGTTTTGTGAAATGGTTCTTCAGATCGATGGAGGATGTGTTGTATATGGTTCTATACAGCACCAAAAATCGTTCTGCTATTGTTATGGTACGAGCTTGTAACAATAGAAGAACGCTTTTTGCCGCTATGTAGAACCATTTCCAAAAAGGTTCTATATAGAGCCATGTACACATTCTCCATCAATCTGAAGAACCATTTCACCATGCAAAGAGCCATTTAAGCATGAAACTGTTTTCTTTACTAAAGAACCCTTGAAGAACCATGTTCTTTTAAGTGCAGTATTGTTATCAGTGCACTGCGCTACTGCTATTACCCCAAAAACAGCAGTCTGCCTCAAATTCAACCCCAACAATGAACAGGTAAGCAGTTCTCACTACAGCGCTATGCTGAGTGAAACCCAAACGGGCATCCTGAGGACCAGTGAGGACCTCTCCTCCTGTAGACCCATCTCCACGTTTCCATGGTGAATAGCGGAGAGGAACTGATGGCGAGCGGGCGGGAGAGTGGAAAAGTGAGCGTTCCCCTCCTTCTCTGACTGCTAGACAGATCACCTTGGCAACAGACAGAGCTTCAGGCTTTAAAACAGGAGCTCTGTGAACAGAGCGGACAGGGAACCATATGCTAAAGCCTCCTCCAGACGGCGGCACACGGCGCCTCGCTGAAACGTAATGAACGCTGCAGTTCTGTGGGGGAGAGCTGAGATCTCACCACGCTAAATTACACCAATCTGGGCCTCTTTCACCTCCTGAGAGATCCGAAACCGAGTAGCAGCTTCTGAAGCGCCAGAGGAACTGATGATTCTAGCAGGGCTGAAACAATCATTCAACATGATGGGTATTTGTGGGCCATATGTGCAAAAATGTACATCACAGTATAATCAAGATGACTAATATATATATATATATATGTATATATACATACACACACACACACATACATACATACATACATACATACATATGGGGAAATTGTGGGCTGGAGGTTAGGGAACAGCCTTGTGACCGGAAGGTCGCCGGTTTGATTCCCTGAGACAACAGTACGTGACTGAAGTGCCCTTGAGCAAGACACCTAACCCCCAACTGCTCCCCGGGCTCTGTGGATAGGGCTGACCACCACTCCAGGCAAGTGTGTTCACTGCCCCCTAGTGTGTGTGTTCACTAGTGTGTATGAGGTGTTTCACTGCACAGATGGGTTAAACGCAGAGGTGAAATTTCCCCGCTGTGGGACTAATAAGGGTCACTTACCTATCACGGTGTGGTGTATTTCTGTATATTTTATTCAAATAAAACCATTTTGGAAGCTTAAGTAAACCTTTTTGTAGATTAACAATACTATATTATTCTGGACGTCCGTTCACTTTTAATAAGAACCATATTTAACTGAAGTGAATCTAAAATATTTTTATTGGGTGAAACAGTAAAACCAGAGCTGATCAATATACAGTCAGATGTCAGTGTGTCTCTATAACCCTAACGAGATGAAGCAGAGTGTGTGTAAAGCCCACAGAGGCGTCTCTAAACACTTAGAACCCTTTTTGGTGCTTTATAGAACCATATATAACACATTCTCCACCAATCTCACCATGTAAAGAACCACTGAGTTTTTAGTTTAGTTGTGTTAGTGTCCTTTATAGAACCATTGTCTTTACTAGAGAACTCTTGAAGAACCACCTTTTTTAAGAGTGTAGACTCCCTTAATATATAAGTATACTTAGTCTGTTATATTGTGTAACACACAGAACACATCAGTTCAGCAGAACTGCAAGTTCTTCATCGGCAACTCCCTTAACTTCCCCTAAAATCCCTTAAAATCTCCTAAAATCCCTACAATAATTTATTCATCTCATTTTTTCAGTTTAGAAATGTCATTTCCAAAACCAGGAGCCGTATTACAGAAACCTCTTAACTCTGAAATCTGATGTGGTCTCCATGACGACTTCAGTACAGACTGAGTTTAGTTCAGTATCTATTACAGAATAAGAGTCATAATCTCATCATTAACTCCAGATAAGAAAACATTCTAACTAGACTAGACATCCTAAATACTGTCCTAACTTTAGGATGAACCCCAACAGGGTCCTCACTTCTGTTTAAGCGTCTGTTTCTGCTGTTTGCCGCACAATGTTCCTCATTCACCGACCGTTCTTAAGAAGACATTTCTTCTTAAACGCACTTACGCAGTGAGAACTTTTACATTTACAGCATTTAGCAGACACTCTTACCTAGAACCACTTACAAAAAGTGCTTTGTCTGCGTAGAGAAAGTATCTTTGCTAGTATAAACAGGTTAGAGAGAAAGTCAGTCCTGAGCTCAGATGAACAAAAGTCCATGTTGATACAGAGAAAAGGAACAGAGTTAAACACAGAGCAGCGCAATGCATTACAATAAACACTCAACTCAGTGCTCACTTAAGTGCTGTATTAAGATATGTGAGAACAGTTCTGCGCTTTAAGAACACGTCATGAATCTGACGTAGACTTTTCCTTAGGACCTTTCTCAAGAACACACTTATGAACAGACTTAGGAAGATTTTAAGAATGAGGACCAATAGTATTGTTTTCAGGCAGCATAACCAGTTTATAACAGCATAATGATGCTACATTTATTTACACTGTAAAACTGGTTTCACTCGTGAGAGCGAGTTTGTTTAAAACTCCGCAGTTCAGAAAATCCCTGACGACTCCGTCTGTCTCCCTCACAGCACCTCCGTCTGTAGATCAACCTGCTGAATAAAACACTGCTGTGATGTGAATAACGAGCCTGTTTATAACAGTGCGGCGGGCAGAGTGACCAAAGCCTTAAACGGACACTGAAACGTGGGCGATGCTCCTGTTAAACAGCAGGGGGCGCACTCAGTGTTCTCTTTTTCTATTGAGGCTACTAAAACTTTCAGCTCATTGTGCTTCAGCTCTGTTTTCCTGTGTTTCACACACACAGTGTCTGTCTGTACTGTAACTTACATCTCACTTCACATGAGTTTAATAACGTTTACGTTTCAGCTATAGTTCCTGTGTGCTTATCATCGGTTGCTTGGTAAGCGTTCTTTAGTAAAAGGGAATGGTTCTGTTTAGAACCCTGAGTTCTGTCTAGAACAATCTGCATGTTTACGTGGTTCTCTGCATGGTGAAATGGTTCTTCAGATTGATAGAGAATGTGTTGTATGTGGTGTATGTTGTATGTTGTTAGAGTATTAAGCTTGTAACAATAGAAGAACCCTTTTTGCTGCTATGTATGTATTTTCAAAAAGGTTCTATATAGAACTGTATACAACACATTCTGCATGAACAGTTTAAGCATGCAAATGGTTACGGAGTGTTCAAGGTTCCATATAGAACCGTTTTCTTAACTAAAGAACCCTTGAAGAACCATCTTTTTTAAGAGTGCAGTTTCCTATATGTGTCCAATATAAGGCAGGATTTGCTTCTGTAATATGAATCTGTAAACAGTTTTATCTTGAGCTGGTCAGATCTTAATCTAGAACTAAAGATGGAAGTTCTCTGTACCGCGGCTCCTGAAGAGGACTGAAAAGGTGGAACGTTTTCCATAACGCAGTGAACAGAGGGAATAAGAATCAGTTGGGAAGAACACGAAGATGAGAAAAAAAGAGCTCCTACCTGTGCAGTCGGTCCTCCAGGAACTCAGTGTACTTAACAATGTTCTCCTTCAGGTTCTGCTCTGTTAGGAAAAGAGAACCTCCATCAGAACACAGTAAATAAAACACTGAGACACATGCTCCTCTTCTCCTCCACTTCTCCTTTCTTCACTTTTTATCCTTTTATCCTCCTTTTCTCTTCCTTTTCTCCTCTTCTCTTCTTTTCTCCTCCTTTCTCCTTAAATATCTTAACGCTCCAGTTGTAGTGATCTTAATTCCAGGTTAAACCGTTTCTCTTTTGTGTTCTTATGATTGAGCTCTAAAACCTGCACTGTATTCTTCCTGCACTTTACCATTAATATGCTAATTTTAATAATCCTTTATTGTACCTTTATTACAGCTTCACTTTCAGAGACTCACTTTCAGTTTCTCAAAGAAACCTGCAGCCTGGATGAATTACAGGCATTAGGATGTAACTGGAAAGCTAACATCAGCTTTCTAGCATTCATCTGTAGTGTGGTCTGTGTTTATGTTTTGGCCGAAAAAAATTTCAGTCTATTTCTAAACAAAAACACTCCACTAAATTCAGATTCCAAGTCTGGTGTGGATCCAGTAGCTGATGTAGCAGTCTGAGCTGGTTTGTGCCGCAGGAGCAGCGTTAAGTACAGTAAGCTTTAATGTTTTTTTTCTGCAAAGATTTGCTGTTGTATTCCTGAAGAGGGGAGGATATGAAACCTAAGCACTTTTGCCATGTTATTATGAGAAAAGCAGTGAGAGCTCCCCCTTCTGGATATTTGTATACATAAGCCATCAACTAGGAAAACTCAAACTATGGTTCAGGCGTTAGCAAAGTGGCCAGGCGTGAAAACAGCCTAAAATACTCACTTTTAGTATCATAGGAACACTGTAGGATTTCACACTGCGTTCCTGGGACGTCAAACTCTACTACTGGACTAACGCGTAACCGTACACCTGCGCGGCGTCTCTGGAGGCCGTGACTCACCGTACTGAGCTTCTCTCTTCTGCAGTTCCTTCTTCAGCTGGCTGTGCTGCTCCTTCATGCGGGCCAGGTCGTGGGCGCTCCCTGCGCTCAGGGTCTGAAGTCTCTTCGCGAGCCCCTCCAGATGATCCCTCTCCTCGTATACTGACCTCATCTCTGCCTTCAGCTCCTTCGCAGTGCTGAAATCACTCCCTGCACCAACAACAGCAAACGACCACCGGGAGGTCAGATAAGAGTAACGGCTCGTTTCTTGTAGTGTTCACTGCTCCGCCATGACGCTCTATGCTTGATGTCGACTAGTTCCTGATCACATGATTACGACACTAATAACTTGGACGCCTCAGAGAAGACAGCAGGTGAGGTGTATCTCTAGTTTCCTCAAGGCAATGAGATCCAGGGCTCGTTGGGAAGGGCGCGTCACGCTCTACTGACCTGTGGAGTTTGGCTTTGTTCTAACAGAGCTTCAAAGATCAGATATTGAACATCTTTATCTTCGATTTCCTGAAGACTACAGTAAAAGTCCTGTGTGTTTGGAGAGGGAGCGTAACACCCTGTAATACTGTACAGTGTGAAGTCAGTTACTCTTATTTTTGCTGAGTTATGATGCTCTAAATTTCTCTGGCTCTCTGGACCTTCACCACGGGCGAGCGTCTCGGCAAGGCCGTCTAGGGTGCGCCTAAGTTGGATACACATTTGCGAGATTCCAGGGTCCGTATCCCTGAAGGTTCGCTGGAAAGGACGTGGTACGCTCTACTGATCCGTGGCTTCATCACAGATTTTTAAAATCGCTTGTTCCAAAGCGTCATCAGCGATTAGTCGACATCGACTTGACTTCAATCACATTAGAGTCGATTTTTAAAAATCTGAAGTCGTGCAGCCCCTCGATTCTGGTATTTCTGAGGTCAATAAAAACTGACAAAACACAGATCCGATAAAAAAGGACACAGAATAATATCTGAAGCCATGTGATCAAAGGGCTGCCACAGAAATGATTTGCAGTACAGTGAATAAAGTCACGAGTGATGTGAAAAACTAGACAGTACTGAAGTATCTGGCTGTACCTGAAATAGCTGCCAGCTTGGCCTCATGCAGAGCCAGCAACTGCGTCTCACTCTCACTAACTTTCCTCCTCAGACTACCGCCCAGCCTCTGACTCATCACCACCTGAGAGAGGGAGAGACAGACGGAATACATAAACAGAGGAGAAGACAGAGACCACCCTTCGTTTATTTAGATGACCAGTCAAAACAGCCAATAAGTTAGAGTTATTTCGAAAAATAACAGGCCTCTAAAAGTAGTGACCGATTTTCACAGATCTGTTTCTCAGTGTTACTGACTGGCCTTTACCGGTTGTCGGTTACCATTGGTTAATCAAATACTTCTGTCCAATCAGAGACAGGCTTTTTTGTCTATATTCAATGTTTAATATTAGTTGTAAAATCTTATCTTCTATTCATATCACTTTTGTTGTGTTACTGTTTGCTGTCCGGTGTGGTCCAGAGGAGGATGGGTTCCCCTTTTGAGTCTTGGTTCCTCTCACAGTTTCTCCCTCTTGATCTGAGGGAGTTTTTCTTGCTGTTGTTGCCAGTGGTGACGCTCATCTGGGGCTTTTCTGTAAAGCTGCTTTGTCTTAAGCACTAAAATTTACTGCGTCACTCTTTACCTTTATTACAGCTTCCATTCTTTTCAGGAGACTCACTTTCAGTTTCTCAGCTGGACTCTGGGATGGTCAGTCCACTATTTTAATATAATATACAAAAAAATTATTTTAATATAATAAAATATATTAAAATAATTATTTTAAAATTATTAAAATATATTATATTAGTTGTGTAGGCTTTGTGTGATTTTCTGTTAAATATATGTGTTCTGCTTTGTACTTAACGGCCTTTTGGACTGGAAATTAACTAAACGAAGGGGTTTCAGCACAACTTCAGCACATTTAGGGAGCATATTTACACTTCTTTTGGCAAAACAGCTAACTGGCGTAAACAGTAGATAATAGATGACAGTGTCACTGTGAGGAGGCCTTACTTTGGCTGTTGCCTCTTTTATGGATGAAGTCAAACTCTGCTCCTGCTCCTGTAATCTGCAGGGAGAAAGATCAGACGCAGACAGATGTCAGACACAAACAGGAAAGAACTGCTTTAATATCAGATTAAACAGCCTCGGTGACTTCGGGGGCTTTTCAATAAGTGACACAATTAATAGCGTAACATGGATTCTATGCGAGTCAGGAGAACGAGGGAGCATCATCACCTCGAGTCACTCCTCAAAATTTCACCAGCAAAACTTTCAACAAATATAAAATAAATGAAGAACTTTTTCACCATCAGGGCAATTTAGTAAGAAGATAAGCTGGAGTCTATCGTGGGCACCCTTTAAAAAGGTGGTCCTTCAGGGGTTCTTTGGTAAAGGCAATGGTTCTATGTAGAACCATGAACACTTAAAGAACACTTTGCATGCTTAAATAGTTCTCTGTATGTTGTTCGAATTGATAGAGAATGTGTTCTGTATGGCTCTATGTGGCAAAAAGGGTTCTGCTATTGTATACAACACAGTACTTGACATCAAGAAACTAGAAGAACCCTTTTTGGTGCTATATAGAACTGTATACAACACATTCCCCATCAATCTGAGGAACCATTTCACCATGTAAAGAAGTTTGAGTGTTCATGGTTCTATATAGAACAATTGGGCCTCATTCACCAAATGTTCTTCAGAAGAAATTTCTTCTTACGCAGTTTTGACGAAGGTTCTGACTCACCGATGTTCTCTTATGTGGGATTTGTTCTTAGGTAAGAACAGAATCTACACACAGTCAAGAGCACAAAGGCGGGAACAGTTCTGCGCTTTACGAACACGTCATGAATCTGACAGAGACTTTTTCTTAGGATCTTTCTCAAGAACACACTTAAGAACCAACTCAGGAAGATGTTGGAGAGTGAAGCCCTTAAAGAACCATCTCTTGTTAGATGTTTGCTCTGAACTCATGAGTGGTTGTTATCGTTGTGATGGTGTTTAGTCTGAGCTGCAGGTTAATGAGGTAAATAAGGTGAGGCAGGTAAGAGAACTCGCACTGCTGTATTTAAACACCGGAACCCAAAAATCACAGCATAAATATGAACACCTCTCTGTGATCAACAGCCCGTCAGCTTTTACTGTCAATTCAAACTTTATCTGAATCGTATTATTGAAAGAGGAAACTGATTTTTCATTTAACCTGTTAACTGTCGCCCCATTGCTGCCTGAAATGGCGTACCCAAAGTAAAGGGGGCGCTGTTCCCTCATACTCTGGGCTACAGTCGTGATGTTGGTCTCATTTGAAAGGAAACACTGTCCACCATCAAAATGACTGAGTCACCGACTCAGAGTAACAGAGTCTGTAACGGAGGAGTTTATTTCCTCCTGACTCAGATCTCTGAACTGATCTCTGACTCTTGCCGTGTTATCAGACCTCATGTTCTGGATGATGGTGTCTCTGTGGAGGCGGAGAGGCTCTGAAGGTGACGACACTCAGATCTGATAGTGTTTGATCGTTCGGCGCTGATGCTGTTAACGAGACGATCGTCACTGCTGTGAATAACGGATCATAAAACGGTTCGTGGGAGTCGAATCCTGAGATGCTAAGCTCTCCGGTTTACTGCATCTCTGCACTGCTGGACGATTTGATGCATAAAACTGATGTTTTAAACCCAGAAGTGACCGATTAGACAGAACTGTGCCGGTGCTGATACAGTGATCTAGAACAGGCTTTTAGGACAGATGCAGAAAAGGCCGCTTCTGCTGTTTAATCTGCTTTGGCGTGATCTGAGAGCCGCTGATGCGTTTAGTTAATATGTAAAGTATGTGATCTCACAAAGACGGAAATGGGTGCATTTATTTTTTTGAGCTGAAACACATCAATAGGAGTATAATTTACACGTCAGCCACACTTTGTTGCTACTCTTAATAAACAAATCGATAATAAGCTCTTATTGATCTAAACTGCACTCATTTCAGAAAAAAATTGGTGCATCCAGCAATAACTCCATTAGATATAATCGATAAAACTTTATTGATCCCGAAGGGAAATTGCAGAATAATTCAACCTCCCTCGATCCCATCCTCGTCGAGTGAGGTTAAATTATTCTGCAATTTCGCTTTGGGATCAATAAAGTTTTATCGATCTATCTGACGGAGCCTCGAGCCTCTTTATACAGTGAAGGGAAACAGCAGCACTCAGAAAGCTCTGAATCTCCACACTGATCCGTTTCGCTCTGGCCAACCTGGACACACACACTGTAACTGCTCTGGAGGCAGATTTAAAGAGGAAATCATCCATTTTTGCAATGTAAACAAGGTCATTCAAAGTGGCTCTTTGTAGAGAAAATTACAGATCCTGATGGTGGTGATAGGAACCAGGGGTCGCCATGACTACAACACAAATATAGACATTTTATTTACTATCCAGAACCACCAGTGAACCTACACGGGTCTTCTGAGTTTATATGGAATGTTGATGATGGAAAATAGTGGAAAATCTGAAATAATACGTTTTCTTTGGGGACTATTTTGGCCTGCATGTATCCCTCCACCATGAATGGAGTTAAAGGCTAAAATCTTCTCAAAACTTTATGTGCAGCCTATTAATCCGTTAATAATCCGACTAATAGCTCAATCGAAATAGAATACGTCCATGTAAACACCTCAGTCAGAATGGTCTAGTCCGATTGAGGCCATTCGGAATACAGTTTCTGCCTGATTGATCGAGGTGGGTAATCCTGTAAATAATCTGTTAAATAGAAGAATAATATCCGTGTAAACGCCTGTATCTGATTACATTCCCTATCGGAAAGTTTAAGTCCGTTCTGATCATGTTCGTCGCGTCATAGTGAAAGTTTATACCAGTCAACATGGCGGAGCAGAAACTGGTCTGCAGAGGAGACGAAGTTTATGCTCTGGTCTTTAAAAGACGGCGGTGGGACGGACGTCCAGCTTATGTGTCTCAGAAAACGACGTCTTCCTCTCGGCCTTCTTTAATAAGGACATATAAACACCTCAGTTATAATGTAGTATCAGAATGTATTCAATGGGATTGGCTAAAATCTTTGCATGTAAACACAGACAGTGTCTCAGTCATCAGGCAGTGAATTCATAACCATTTCATGTAGGAACTTTCTGTGAGGGAGCTTTTAGAGGTGGACGTCTGGTTCCCATCACCACCACTGTGAACAGTTCTGACTCAGTAAGTTTATCTAGAACGGAGCGTTTCACACCAAACCACTCTGAACCGCTCTGAACCACTCTGAACTGCTCTGTTCTTAACCATTTAATTATGCAGGAATTTGAACATTGGTTTGAATTCCCCTTTATGTGTGAGTTTAAGTGTGAGACGCTCGGTTCCACAGGGTTCAACAGCATATCTGAGCAGCGTTTGTCCTACCTGGTGAGACTCGGTACCGGAGACAGAGAGATCTGGACACGGTGCTTTGACGTGATCAGGTCCTCCAGCGCTCGGCCGATCAGTTGCAGCTGAGCTGGGCTGCAGCCTCTCAGAAGGGTTCCCTCCATCTCTACCGTCTCCAGCCGGAGCTCCTCCTGGGTCAGCTGCTCCTCCAAAGCCAGGCTCCGCTTCTGTAGTTCCTCCAGCCTGAGCTGCAGCTCCGCCATCTCCCTCTGAAGAACATAGAACATCACTGAACTCTTAGACCAGAGAACGTTATTAACAGCCAAGTCAGCCTGAAAATTACAGCTAATCTTCTTTACAGCTCAGTTTAGTCAAAATCACTTTCTTTAAAGAAACTCACATTTTTAGTACTTCAGCTTAGTTTACACTCTTTAAAAGGATGGTTCTTCATGGGTTCTTTAGTAAAGAAAATTGTTGTATGTAGAACCATAAACACTCAAAGTTCTCTGCATGGTGAAATGTTCTTTAGATTGATGGAGATGTGTTGTATATGGTTCTATGTATTACCCAAAAGCGTTCTTCTATTGTTACAAGCTTGACATCATAACAATAGAAGAACCCTATTTGGTGCTATAGAGAACCTTTTTTAGAAATGTTCTATATAGAACCATCTACAGCACATTCTTAAGAACCTTTACATGATGGAAAAAACCCTTCATGCAAAGAGTTTTCTGTGTGTTCATGGTTCTATATAGAACCACTTTCTGCACTAAAGAATCCTTCAAGAACCATCTTTTTTGAGAGAGTAGAACCAGGTACGGGCCGAGACCTGCAGGTAGATCTAAAAATGTTCTAAGAATATTACACACACATTCTATTAATGTTCTTAGTGGGAGTTTTTTTTTTGTATCCAGAATGTTCTTCTGGGAATGTTCTCTAAAAACCTCATGGTGTGACATAATCAGAGGCTCAGACAGCCTCACAGCACAGCATCCTCCGAATGTCGCAGTGAAGACGTTATTATCATTTGCAATGATAAACATCTTTAAAACGTTCTTTGAACATTGATTAAAAGGTTTCTTTAAACATTGTTAGAACTTGTAGGATCTGTTAGCCAGAGCCGGAGTAACACTGACATGGTGGTGGTGTGTTAGTGTGTGTTGTGCTGGTCTGAGTGGATCAGACACAGCAGTGCTGCTGGAGTTTTTAAACACCTCAGTGTCCTGTGACCACTGATGAAGGACTAGAGGATGACCAACACAAACTGTGCAGCAGCAGATGAGCTATCGTCTCTGACTTTACATCTACAAGGTGGACTGACAAGGTAGGAGTGTCTAATAGAGTGGACAGTGAGTGGACACAGTGTTTAAAAACTCCAGCAGCACTGCTGTGTCTGATCCACTCGTACCAGCACAACACACACTAACACACCACCACCACGTCAGTGTTACTGCAGTGCTCAGAATGACCCACCACCCAAATAGTACCTGCTCTGTGAGGGTCCATGGGGGTCCTGACCACTGAAGAACAGGGTAAAAGGGGGCTAACAAAGTATCAGAGAAACAGATGGACTACAGTCTGTAACTGTAGAACTACAAAGTGCACCTATATAGTAAGTGGAGCTGATAAAATGGACAATGAGTGTAGAAACAAGGAGGTGGTCAGAATGTTGTGCCTGGTCAGTGTATAACACAATGTTACTCATATATTTTGGTTATTGTCAGGTTGTTTGACGTACCTGGATCAGCTCTCTCTCCTGCAGCAGCTGCTCTCGGCTCTGCTCGGCTCCCACGCGGCTCTCTGAGGACTCTTCAGACGGTCTGTGAACACAGTGACCTTCATCATCACCTCAGAGAAACAGGACGTCAGCAGGTCACAAACTACACTCCTCCCACACCATCATCTGACCTCCTTTAGAAGCAGCTGATTTTAGGCTCACCTGTGCCGTCAGGTGTGAGGTACACTTCAAACAAAACACATTTCTAAGCAAAACAGTGTTTGTTCTGGGACCGCCCCCTGACTGTGACTGGTCCTCATTTGTTCTGAGACCTCCCCCTGTTGTGATTGGCCCTCCCCCTGACTGTGATTGGTCCTAATCACTGCCTCATTTGTTTTCTGATTCTTTGTAAGCACACTTAAGGCAGCGTGTTTGTCTGTAGTAAACTTTCATTTAGTTCTTTCTTTTTTATTTTTATTTTTTATTATTACCAGCTGAAGAACGATTATGATTACGATTATGATAGAACTGTTTCTTCACTCTAACAGTGTAATTTCATCAGAGCTACCTGCACACTGAGCCAGAGGAAAACACAACACCGACACAATGGAACAGGACATGGTGATTTGGACAGGCCTCCTCTGACATTCCAACACTAATGGAGCCCCAGCTGACTTCCTTCCTGTTTCAAGGCTTTTTCCAAACATGCTTTAGGATGGCAGCCCAGTCATTACACACAGATTTCTAACTGCATCTCGATCCAGTCAGCACTCTGCGTATTCATCCCTCTCTGAATGTAAACAGAGGGTTGATATTGTAAAGGGAAGCAGATACACTTTAGAGCCCAGATGCACCAACGATGAGGAAGAACTGACTGACGATCTCCTTCGGTCACCTTCAGTCGAAACTGTAAAACTGCAGCGTACAAAGTAAAAATATATCGTTTTAATGTCCTACAGGCTTCAAATATCCACGTTTGAGCTAAACCAACAGTGAGAAAGTGAAAGTAAACCACTGTTAGCGGCGCTGGGGGAAAACGGCTACTTAACAAAGAACGTTTATACATTAAACAGTGAAATAATAATGTGTGCTTTAATTCATGTCCGTGTGTAATGTGTCACTGGTCATTCACATCAGTATTAAACTCTGATATTTTATGGTAGGTTTTGTTCATAAGGCTACACAACACCTACATAAACTTGTCATGACTACTGACATAACCCAACATAATCGTTTATGATCTTTTATTCCAACAGGCGTTATTCGCTATAAAGGTCACATTTTGCCAGTTTTGATCAAAGTTAGCTATGACAGATGATGATGCTTATTGAAATAAACATTTATAAACAGTTATGTAGGGTTATGTCACCAGCTTACGTATATGTCATACAGCCTTATGAACTGAGCCTGCAGTAAAGTGCTACCAACTTTTCTAATTGGAAATACAACATTAAAATACTGCTTGTTTGACAATTCGGACGTTTGAATGGCAAAAAACAGCTGGTGATAAATCTGGTGTATATAAAAGCAGAGAAAGGTAGTAACTAGTTACATTTACTCAGTTACAGCTACTTTATGGATTTACTAAATACTGAGTATTTTCAAATTATGACACTTTCACTTCTGCTCAAGTACATTAGTGAGTTTTATTCAGTTACATTTCAGCCGCTCATTTACTACTAATACTAATTCATTTTTTCAGTTTAATTTCATTCTATTTTGTTGAAGACGGATCTGTACTGCTTTGTGATTGATCACATCTCTGACTTTGGAGCTTTAGTGCTGTATTACAGAACTAAACAATCCCAAAATTGTATTTTTTTATTATTTTTATTACTTTTTCTTTATTTTTGTATTTTTACTTAAGTCATTACTTTACTCAAGTATTAATACTTTTCTTGAGTATTGATTTGGGCTACTCTATCCCCCTTTTAAACTGAAATGTGATCATGATTAAACTCCAGATGAGCAGAGAGTTTAGTGAGGCTGGGTTACTGCACTTTATTCATTTTACTGCATTTATAAATAGATCTTATATTTCCCTGTAATGCTAATTCAGTAAGACTCGTGTCTCAAATGCATTTTCTTTCTTTCTTTTTTCCACATGTATTTGTCTCAACTGATAAAAAAGGAACCCAATTCATTTTCTGATTGCATCATAAACACATGGTGTTCTCCGACAGCCTGACATCCGGCTCGGTGCGTCAGGGCCTGAACACCCGTCTGACTGATCTCTACTGTGGGCCAATGAGAAATAATGTGTGCACACTTTCTCACAGACCTGCACTCTGGATCCGTCCTGCGGAGGGCGCTCTGAATGGTGGTCCTGAGCCGCTCTAAAAAGCTGGTGACTTTGGGGTGTCTGGAGGGCAGTCCAGGCTTCAGAGAGGCCTTTTCCTTCATCAGCTCGTCCAGCTTCTTACTGAAGCGCTCGGCTGGAAACACACAGGGTTCAGACTGTCTGCGCGTATTTACAGCTTTTACACACTGAACTGTTTAAACCATTCATCACACTTTATTTGGACGCTCCCCTATAGACGCTCTACAGCTACTTAAATCATTAACCAACTTTCTTCTGATCCTCAGTTGAATATCAACAACATTGTGGTCAGGGTTTGGGTTTGGGTTAGGAGTAGGTTTTGCCTTGAGGTTAAGCTGAGGGTTAGGTTTGGGGTTTAGGGATAGATTTAATAAACTCTTTCATAGTGAACTTCAAGTTCAGTTGAATTTAATGGGTATTTAGTTGAATGTTATTGAAAGGCAGGCTGAGCATTTACAAAGCATCTATAGTGACATTCAACTTCAAGTTCAGTAGCATTTAATGACTATTCAGTTGAACGTTACTTAAATATATACTGAACATTTACAAACAATCTACAGTGGACCATCCTAATAAAGTGTTACCCATTTATCTCAGCTTTACGTGTGTCGGCCTGTAAAATCACCACACATCACCACAATAGATGCAGAAAACAGAAATACAGTGAAAAGTAACATTGAGAACATCTGGAAATGGATAAACTAACACACTAACACACATGAACCCATAGAAAAATATATATTCCAAATATATTTATCAAATATGTTTTTGCAATGTATGAAAATGGCCAAAAATGTATTAGTTATTATCTGTGTTCAGTTTTGTGTTATGAAGGTTCCAGATGTAACTAAACGTTCTTCTGTGATCTGCACTGTACTTTACATTAACCATGTACGTCTGCAGTCAGACTCTCACACACAATGTATTTCACATAAACAAGATATCAGATCATAACTGCATTTTCACAGAGTATCAATACTACAACACTCGCTTCTGTCCTGTTAAAGGATCATTAGATCAGATTTAAAATGAAGATACTGGAACACAAATTCATTTCTAAAGGTATCAGACAGTGAAGAGCATCAGACAGGATTCTGGATATTTTCATACATTTTCAGACGGATTTGATAAACACATTTACACACAGTTATATACCTGTAGTACATTTCTATGTGTAATATTTCCCCATACATTTTAAAATAAATGTATTTTAAAATATATTTGGTTAATATGGCAAAATATTCTGAAACACATTTTAGTGTTTGAATGTGTTTCAACATCGACTGCAATGGATTTGAAATGTATTTAAAATATATAAAAATACATGTCCATATATTTTTTCTCCATATGGGAAATCACTAATTATTGTATTAATATTATTTGTATTTATTCTAATTTTAGTGGTTTGAGGAAATAAACTCTTACTAATAAGATAAACAGCTTTTTTTTCAGGTGCCTAAAACTTTGTTCTGTTTTTCAGTGTCTAAAAACCACATGACCACAAGTAAACACATGTAATAACATGTGAATAATCATGTGAATATGTGCCAGTCATGCCCTGTTCAGAATATTTTGGAGATGAAAGGCATTAAAGCCCCTAAATCTTATTTTTCCCACCTTTTCCTTTGTTTCTAGACACTGTCTGCCAAATTTGATGGCTCTATGACTTTTTCCGCAATTGTACAATCTCAGTATTTGAATCATTTCCCCAAAAAGCATCTCTTAAATGGTTCTTCGCGTGATGAAAAGGTTCTTCAGATTGATGGGGAATGTGTTGTATATGGTTCTATATTGACCCTTTTTGAAAATGGTTCTATTTAGCACCAAAAAGGGTTCTGTTGCATACAAGCTTGACATCATAACAATAGCAGAACCCTTTTTGTGCTATATAGAACCATATACGACACATTCTCCATCAATCTGAAGAACCTTTTCAAAGAACTATTTAAGCATGAAGCTTAATGCACAATGGTTTTTTGAGTGTTCATGGTTCTATATAGAACCACTGTCTTTACTAAAGAACCCTTGAAAAAAACGTCTTTTTTAAAGGCTGTTTTCACACTAGAGCCTTGTTCCGGACTCAGGACCGCTTGCTCTGTGAGTTCGGTACGTTTGGTCGAGTGTGAAAGCTGTTTTCCCGGGAGCAGAGCAGAGAACCGTCTCTGGTCCTCCTGAAATCGGTGGTCTGGGTTTTGCTGCTCGTATCTTTTCATGAATGTTAGGACTGTTAGTTATATGAATTCACAGACATCTCACCTGTGTCATAATCATCATCTAGAACTGCCTTTTGCTGCAGCCTCTGGAGCTTAAACATCATAGACTCGATCTGGAAAAGAAAGACATTGTTAATTCTAACGTCTTTCCTCCTGGAGTCTCTACGTCAGTGGTCACCAGCACTGGTCCTGAAGATCTACCGTCCAGCTCTCAGGTGCAATACCCGCCTTCACCAGAGGTCAGCGTCGCCTGAGTACTGACTTGCTTCCTAGTAACACCTTGACCTTTCTCACCTGCAGCTCCCTTTATAAGGACCTTCACTCACACTGGACCTCTGTGAAGTATTGCCTGTTCATCTGTTGACCAAGCCTTGTTTCTTCACATCTGTTGGATTTTTTGGATTGACCTTCTTCTGAACTCTTTGACTCCCTCTGGTACCTTTGCTGTGTTGTGATCTTTTGTTTTTTTGACTTTTTGGACCGTCTCTGACTCTGATTCTGGTCTTTGTGATTTTTGATACTGTGTTTTAAGTAAACGGGAATCATGGATTCAAACCCAACTGGAGAGTCTTCATTACACCTGCAGAGTGTAGCCCTAATCACAGTCTGCCACACCTGCTTCAGGTAGTCCATCTCCAGAAGTCCCTGATTGGCTGAATCTGCTGCATTAGCATCAGGAAAGAAGGCAGTGTTTTAGACACAGGCTGGAACTAAACTCTGCAGGAAAGCAGATCTCCAGGAGGAGGCTGGTGACCACTGCTCTGTATTCAGTGCCTGAAGTCGCAGACAGTTGGTGCTGTCGTCCCGCTGCTCTCACGCGTTCACTCAGGTTTGCTGACGGTGGAGTGGAGGAGCGCCGACATCTCAGAGAGCCTCATGACTCTGTTACCTTCTGTCTCTCCCTCTTAGTGAGGCTGTAATATCTAGACCTGCTGGAGTCTCTGCTGCTCTGTTAACGCTGTAATCTGTGGTCAGTCTCTCTGTACAGAACTGACTCCCTGTGTGTTTCCTTTCTTTGCCGAGTTGAACAGCTGCCCATGCTGTGGGTCTGTTGCTTCTTCTGTCTTGATCGGGTGCCACTGCTTGCCAGCCTTCTGGACCGGCTTAACCACCATTGACCTTCATGCTGTACAAAGCTGTGCAAACCTCACCTTCATGAACTGACCCTCCTGCTGCTGCTGCATAAACTCAAACTCTCTAATTAACTGTTGCTCCACCTGTTTTTCCCATTTTGTATTCTAAAATTTAATTCTAACGCTGTTTGCTATCCGGTGTGGTCCAGAGGAGGATGGGTTCCCCTTCTGAGTCCTGGTTCCTCTCAGTGTTTCTTCCTCTTGCTGTTAGGGAGTTTTTCCTTGCCTCTGTCGTCATTGGCGATGCTCATGGAGACTTGGACCTGGATTTTTCTGTAAAGCTGCTCGGTTGTAAAAAGCGCTATATGAATAAACTTTGCTTGCAGCCACAGATTCGTGTTGCTTTGTGAAGTGGACGTGATCAAAACTGGACTGGGAGACAAAAGAAATCCTGTGTTGGTGCTCTTAGCAAGCTAGCTAACTTGCTACCCATAAACAGTAACAACACAAGAGTGAGCATAATTGCATATTTGTGAGAGTGCCGCGCTGCACTGATCTGTGCTAATGAAGTGTAGATAACTGGTGTGGTCGGTGTCTGCAGAGTGACTTGTGTGCAGCTACGGTTAGCCAACAAGCATCACAGTTAGCAAGCTGGCTAACTCATCAAGCACAAAGAGTAAACACAAAAAAGTAAACATAATTGCACTAAATAATTATATATGCACCACAGCACCGTGAGGATAACTGGCGTGGTTGGCAGCAGTGAGGCAGTTAGCCAAGAAGCAAACACAGCAGTTATCAAACACGCTAAATCATCTTGAACAGTAAAATCACAAAAGTGTTAGTCATAAAAGCAATAATACAGCCTTCCACTGACTGTGGATCATACATTCTCTCTTTTATATGGTGATTTATAGTCAGTGAGGAAGAAAGGGTAAATGGTTTGTGCTGCTAAAATTAGAATTAGCTTCGTTTTGGAAGTTCAGGGCAATGAAGCTCGGCCCCTTAAGAGGTCAACAGAGCCAAAGCAGTACCACTAAGGGTTGAAGACACAAATTCAGGTCACCAAAGGTTATTTGCTCTGGACGTTTCAGACATGAAAATGTTATTTTAATTCTATTAAAGTAGAATTAATTAATGTGAGAGTTTAACACAAAGATCTTTAAAAAAGGGTCACTAACCCTGGAGTTGGTGCGGTTTTCCTGCAAGCATTCCTGCAGAATTCCCTCACACTTGTTCATGAGGATGTCCCACCTCTGGTCTGAAGAAGGCGTGGCACTTTCGTAGCCAGAGGTGGAGGAGGAGGCGGAGTCTGAGGAGTCCACCGACAGCGAGGAGGTGACCTCTGTGTCTGAGTCTGGCATGTTGTCTCTGGAGTGAGACGTCATGGCGAAGGACCTGTCACCGCTGTGCCAGGGCGCGTCCAGATCGACCCCTAACAGATCATCGTCCAGTAAGAGGTTCTGCGGCTTCCCTGATTGTCCAGGAGGTTGGTCTGATTCCGGTACCTCAGCAGAACCGATCCGAGAAGACTCTGCGTCTTCATTTCTGAATACAGACTGTTCCACTACAGCAGATTCGGTCCTTGACTGTTTGGATGTTTCACAATCACACTCGTCCCAGAAGGAGCGCTCGGAGTCCAGTGACTGCTGGATGAAGCTGAAGCTGGAGTTAAAGGTGTCGTCTGATGGAGCATCTTCAGGAAAGTCTACAGCACTGGGAGGTCTCTGCTCAGGCCTGGGCTCTGGCTGATGGGCAACACGCCACTGTGGACTAGAGATGTCCTGGAATGGCTGACCCGCTCTGTGTCCTGCAGAATCTTCTCCATGATGACCCTGGCTGTCGGGTGGTTCGATGGCGCTCTCATCACCGTTAAGAAGAGCAGATGGACAGGACGCCTGAGCTTCAGAGTGGTGGTGAAGTAGGCAGGGCACCCTGCCAGCCAAACAAGCAGCACAGTCCAGATGTCTGGACAGATTTGTTGTCCTCAAACTCCTCCTGTGAGAAACGTCCACTTCTGGTGCTGTGAAGAGGCCACCTGTTGAAAAGGAGATTACTGATTAAGAATCTTAGACATGAGGAACAGTTACTCAGCGGTCAGCAAGTTCCCTTACAGTCCTGACAGATTATAAGAGACTCTGTATCTCTCACTGTCTGACTGATTCGGGTTCACACACTACTCAACTCTTACACGTTCTCCTGTTACTAGGAGACGCAAATAAATAAACGAGCGCTGCTGCTGTTTTCTCTGCCGATTGAGCTGACACTGAAAAATAAGCAGCAGGTAAACATTTAAATGAGGGTCCTTCTTCATTCTTTATTCGGGTCCCCATTAGCTTCCACAAAGTGGTCGCTAGTCTTCCTGAGTTCCACACAAGAGAGATTACAATCAAAATAAAACAAACAAACAACCTTTAAAATCATCCTGTATCATAAACAAACACAAACAAAACCCAAGAATAAATCTAATACTTAACAAGAGAATCAATAACCAACAATAACCTACACTTAAAACCAAAAACCAACAATACCACAATAACATCTACATCAAATTTTGTTTTAATAACTTTTTAAAAGAAAATCTACTAATAATCTGTTTGATGTCAATAGGGAGCTCATTCCAAGCTAAAGACGTTCTATAAAGAACGGTTCTCTTCATACAGTCTGACGGTGGACTTGGCACCACCAGCTGACCAGAACTCACTTCGCGTGTTTTTCACTCATGACAAAAACCTGAAAACATTGGTGTTTTATTCCTAATGACATTAACAGTTCAGCCTCCACAGTTAGCCATGATAATCATTTACACATTTCACACACATTAGCATGGAATGCTAATGCAGAGCTAATCTGGCTGCTCTGTTCTGTACAGTTTAAAGTCTTTTTAAATATTTCTTAGCAGCACTTGACCAAACCACTGGGCAGAACTCCAGGTGTGACAAAACCAGTGATCGAACTACAACAATCATAACAGAAGGTGGAACATACGCAGAACATTTCCGAGATGTTTCCTGGATTATTTTCCTGGATTAAAGGTCAGTCTGATCAGTCTGGTAGTTTGTAGAGTTTCAGATGATCATAAACTCCACTGTGCCAGACGTGAGAGACCTTTCACCGTTTTTCTTGTTTACTTGCTATTTTTTCTTCTTTCGTGCTCTTCAGATTGAGTGTCTGACCAGTTTACACTTCTAGAGTCGGGTTAAAAATATCAGACATGTCTGATAAACTCTGCGCTGCTCACACGCGACTCGACTCAAATCTGAGCTACAATCGGAGTGAAAGTTGTGCAGTGTGGCCTCAGCTTTACTGGTTCTCCTCTGACAAACATTTTTCACCAGTGTAGAGATGATCATGGAGTCATGTGACGGTGCAGCTGCTGCAGAACATTCTTCTGCCAGACTGCAGAAACATCAGGCAGCAGGACTAAAAAGAAGAACCAAGAATGTAGGACATCAAGATATGACTGAGATTTCTGCCTGTTTCAGGATATTTCAGTGTACAGTACAAGGTGCCCCAAAAACACTGATGACATTTGAGATGTGAGTATCTGAGTAACTACATGTCCTGGCAAAGAAATTAAATAGGCTTCATGTTGAACAACACAAGATTTATTTATCAAAATTCAGAGGGATGTAGATTTTATAACCAATTTCACAGCTTCACAAATGTAATATCTTCCGATACTGGCGGTCGTCCAGACCCCTTTGTCCTGCACAGACAGCCTTGCTCTTTAAGTTTTTTGTGCTGTGTCCAAATCTGCTGTCCAGTTGGTGCATTTTTATTGAATTTTCTCGAAAATGCCGCTGCACTCTCTCGTTTGACTGTGTTCGAGCAGATTCTAACACACAAAACGCCTTTTCATTTCTAGTGAACGCCGTTCTTCACCCTGAACAAAAAACACTAAAAATTAAACTTGGGTAGTTTTTACACATTTTGTTAAAATTTGAGATCATTTGAGGGAGAATTGGCTGTTATCAGACTACGAAATGATCTCAATTTTTTTGGGACACCCTGTATATTTACATATATCATCGCTGTTGGAACAAAACCTTATATCTCCAAAATATTACAGGAGAAGGAAAAACATTCATAACTGTAATGTAAGTTAATGTCAGAACATTAATTCTGAGTAAAACTGTTTCTATTGTTCCATTTACTTTGTGTGATGACACAAAGTAAAAGTCAGCTGGAATTTTCAACAAAGTAAATATATATATATATTTCAAATAAAACCATTTTAGATGTTTAAGTAAACCTAATTTTGTATGTTTCTGTAAAAAACACTTTACTGTGCAAAATGTAAAAACAGGTCAGAACATGTATATAAATTGACCATCAGAGCGAGGCCTTCAGGTCGGCCATGAGTGTCAAAACTCTGTCAGAAATAAGGAAAAACATTTACAATAATGCTAATTACTGCTAGCGCTCATTAGGGGTTCTAGTCCTATGTTAAAACAAGGAGTCTGCTGTCACTCTGTGTCCAGTGTTCTCCTGTGGGTTCACTGCTGATGGATGTGAATGGGCGCAGTGTGAGGGTCAGTGTGGGGGTCAGTGAGACAGACAGAGGCTTCCTCCTCTCTTTATATTCCATTCAGAGTTTCTGAACTGATTTACTACTGAGGATTTCATTCATTCAGTCTTTGGTCACAGAATAAATGTCACAGTTAATCTACGTACAAACGCACAGCTGTGGTCCTGGTTTTATTTATGCGTGGAGGCCGTGAAACACTAGATCAGCCATTCTATTCATTATTTTTTAAGCGTTTTTTTTTTTTAAGTTGTGCTCATTTTGTTGATAGTTTTATTGGGTCCCCACAGCAGGAAGGGCCTGGGTTCGATTCCCTGCCCGGGGATCAGGGTCCCGTCTGTGTGGAGATCTCCCCGGGTCTGCGTGGGCTTCCTGCAGTCAGCAGACGTTAAATTGCCCATAGGTGTGAGTGTATATGTCTGTGTATCTGTCTGCCCTGTGATAGACTGGCTACCTGTTCAGGGTGTTTCCTGCCTTCCACTCAGTGACCACTGGGATAGGCTCCAGCACCCCCTGTGACCCAGAAGGATAAGCGGTTTCACTTATTTTTTGGACGCATATGTTCCAAAAACACTGCTCCAAAAATACTGTTCATCTCTATTCACCCTCTGTCTGAATCGCTCTGTTACGGCTCCTGTGTCTTTAAGCCCCGCCTTCCGATGAGCCCAGTGTGCTCTGATTGGTCAGCTCGCCCACTCTGTTCTGACTGCTCAGCCTCCAGAGCGGTTCCACCCCTCCAGGTTCTGCCCCTGTCCTGCAGTCTGCAGACAGACCCTTCTCTCCTGAGCAGCTGTAAACTCCACTGCGTCGGTTCTGCCGGATCAGTTTGATCCAGAGTGGATCCTGAAAGTCCGGTAGAACAAGCTGGTAGAGCTGATGCGAGCTGGACCGGAGCAGGACGTTCCAGAGCGGGAAGCTTTTACTCTGTAGCTCTCTGTCTGAAGGGGCGAAGCTGTTACAAGATTGAGTCATCCTGTAACAAAGGAAAAGGGCTGGAATTCCAACGAGGCGTTTCAGGCAGCTGAGAAAAGTGGGTTCTGTGGGAGAGAGTTTCTCCCTCTGGAGGGAACGCTGAGCTTTGGGACTCTACAGAACGTTTACATTCACAAAAAGCTACAACACTAAAGGAAAGAGGAAAACTGGAAAAGCATAACAGCTCCCCTTTATGGAGTAGAAATGCAATGGAATTAAATGGAGTGTAGAATGGAATATGTTCTCTAACTAAAGGCACTGTAGACGTACCCTTGAGGGTTCCACCTCAGTGGCAGTTTAGTACCATTTTTCTAAGAGTGTACATGCTTAAAAAATGGTTCTTCAAGGGTTCTTTAGTAAAGACAATGGTTCTATATAGAACTATGAACACTCAAAGAACCACATGCAAGATAAAATTGTTCTCTGTGTGGTGAAATGGCTCTTCAGATTGATGGAGAATGTGTTGTATATGGTTCTATATAGCACCAAAAAGGGGGTTCTGCTATTGCCACGATGTCAAGCTTGTAATAGAACCATCTACAGCACATTCTCCATCAATCTGAAGAACACTTTCATGATGCAAAGAACACTTTAATCATGTAAAGGGTTCTTTGAGTGTTCGTGGCTCTTCATAGCACCATTTTCTTTGCTACAGATCCCTTGAAGGACCATCTTTATAAGAGTGAACCTCAGAAAACAAACGAATGGATCATTGACCAAATCAAGCCTCACCTTTGGGAGCCCAGATAACCAAACTCAAGCTTATGTGGACATATTATGAGAACCGGTTAGTCTGAAATTGGAGAATATGAAAATAACCCAACTTAGAACAACACTGTCAGGTCTGAACTCGTTTTCTAAATACTGAGCAGCTCTCTTGCTGTTTATAAGAAGACTTGACCAACATGTTTTTCAAACCGTTTCAGAGGAAAACAAAGAGCTGATACTGTCACTCTGATCTGATCTGACTCCAGCGGCACAAAAGTGGAAAACAATCTGCAGAAAAACTTTCACTTCCTCAAATGTTGTGCTGCAGTCAGATGTGGTGAGTCAGAGTTCAGTGCGGAGCTTAAAGATCAGCTCTGAGGAGGAAAACCGAAACGGGTCTGTTTATTCGTCTTTCCTTTTTATAAGCTGCCCACATTCCACCGTTACGCTGCAGCGCTCAAGAGCAGCCAATCAGAGACAGATAAGAGAGGCAGGTTTAGACATTTAAAGTAAAATCTCTTCTAAACTCAGACAGAACAGCTCAGACAGAGAGCACAGCTGCTCCACCGCAGGCTTCAGATTTATCTCCATTCTGGATTTCAGTATTAGAAAACTGACCCTCTACAACTTTAAGCTGGACAAATGATCCTGTTTGTCTTATTTATTCTTTTAATGTGTCTCCATGTTTACGTCGGTGTAAATATGCTGTCTGGTTTCAGAGCAGCACAGGTTTCATTTCCTGTTTTTCTTTTTTGTAACTCATAGTCGTGTTTGTTAAACTGATAAGGCTGCAGTCTTCCACACACAGAACTCCTCCCCTCAGTAAACAT